TTTTTTTTTTTTTTTTTTTTTGTACGAGTCACTGCAACAGTGCCATGTTTTGGGCACAAGGCTCGGTACCTTGAACCTGGCAGCGCTGGAGACTGCAGCGTCGCAGCACAACCTGCAGGCTTGAGCGGGCCGCCATTTCGATTTTTTGCAGAGATGGCTCTCATGAAATGCGCTTAAAAAGACCTAACGAAAAGTGTGTCCGAATGCCTCCTGGCCTTGGCTAAGAGCACGCTTCAAAAGCTGAAAGCACAGTCGGCCCTCCCTCGGCCCTACTCCGGGTACATTCTTCTTGGCAAACTCTCTTCGTAGCTGTGAGTCTGGACCGTACTCGTCCCAGTTGAAAGCTCTAGCGTGCTCGCTTCAGTGGTGGAAATCACCTCGCTGAGCAGAACCGTGGGGAGGGGGATCGCGGCATGAGCATCAGCGAACGGGTCACCGAATGCTTGCAGTCTTGATGGATCAGCTGGACTACTCAGAAGCCGGCCGTTGAAGCTTCGGATAGAGTGGGAACGGGCAGCAATTGGTGAGCTCCCACACATAACGCCATAACGCCGGATACTCCACAAGACATGTTTGAATGCATTGCAGCAAGCCATGGCAAGCCAGCAGATGTAACCAACATAGGCATGTGATCCCGAAATCTGGAGGTGCTGGATCTGAAAGACCACAAGATTTCAGCGATTCCTCGGCAGGCATGGGGCTTTGCGTCTTCCACCTGCTGCGTGCAATTCCCTCAGCGCACTGCATATTATACCACCTGGATCAGGTCTTGAGTGCCTTCACACATGTGAAAGTGCTGCCCTCATGTGCAGAGCTTCCACTGCTTGTACTGTTGTCGTCATGAGATCGCTCTGTCAGGTCCTAGATCTTCGCAAAAATGCACTGGAGGACATGTTGGCTTTGGGTCATTGACCGATGTCAAGTGCCTTCAAACAAGGAGCTGTTGCCGGACATCTCCTTGATGAATCAACTTGAGGACAACATCTGCACCAGATTATCAACTCAGCATGAACTACCCTCAGCGGGGCAACAGTTGCAGGATCTGCTGCTGGATCAGAATCGATTGCGTGAGCTTCCTGACGAGGTGCGCTGCCTTGCTCGCATCAACTTATTGCAATCTGTTGCAATCCATTTGGGCTTGGAAAGGTCTGCCTCTTACCACATCTGAGAGGGCTCTCCTTGAGCCAAAACCTCCTGAAGACGCTGCCGAAGGCATGCTCTAGCGCTGGCGCTTGTCAAAGGATTGCGAAGTGCAGCTCACTTGGTGTCAGGCCGTGGGATCCATGAAATCTCTGAAGAGCCTCAGCCTAGGCAGAAAAACGGCAGCACAGACAACCTCTCGCAGGGGCTGTTTTACCTTGGCCTGCAGGTGACAACTTCTTAGAAGAGATTCCAGCGGAGCTTGGGCAGCGGGGTTCCAACAGGGCTCAGCGCAGCCACAAGCAGCAATCTGTGTTCCTTCCTGAGGTGTAAGGAGTTGCAGACGCTCTATTTGCACCACAACAGCTTCACAAGCTTGCCAAACAGCCTGGCGCAAGTTGCTCAGAGTGGGTTCCGCGAAGGGATGGCAGTCTCATCGGAAGCTGAGTTTGCCGAGCTGAGGGCGATGGAAAACTTGCAGGAGCTGGCGCTGGAATGGTTCAGGAGCGATCCCAGACAAAGTGGGTGACTACGCAGTCAGCTGAGATGCAGGTACACGACTCCACCATTGCCACGTGTGATCAAGGGCGCTGAGTGGCAGGCCAAGCGGCAGCTCTCCTGTGCTCCTCTCAATAATGCCCAAAAGGATGCAGAGCCCTAGGACGATTTGCTGGGTATGGTTGGGGACATCCTTTCCAGATTTTGCATTCACTTAGCTTGAGCCCCCATACTCTTGCCAGCGCATCATCACCAAGCTCAGAGACCTCTGCCGCGAAAAGAAAGACAAGGCGGTGCTCACGACTGAAGCTTGTGGAGCTGGGTTGCCATGGTGAACTCAGCAGGACGCCCGTGTGAGCTGTATAGAGGCTTGGGCAGTGGCTGTTCATTTGTGCGTGTGCCCTTTGTTGGCCAATCTTGCCCAGGTCTTGTCTGAGTTCTCGCAGAAGGCATTTGATCCAAATGCTATTGACTCCAAGAGGAGAACGCGGTGCTGGTCTGAGCTTTGTTCTGTGCACGTCTAATCGCCTCCCTGCTTGCGTTACCTGTGGCTGGGGTGGTGCTCTCGGACTTCTGAGGTTGCACGTCGCATGCCTCGAAGGGCATGTTGGTGTAGCCCTTGCTCTTGCCGAGAATGGGCTCGGCTCCGTGATTTGTGGTCACATTTTTAGGATGCATTAGCAAGGGATTGAACATCGAGGTCAAAATGCGACTCCTTAGACTGCGAGGGCTACTCGCCACTGCTTGTGGCAGTCCGCGAGGCCAGGGCGCAATTTGTGCTGCAGCGCTGCGCCATCCGTGCAGTTGGAAGCGCTCATTCAGGAGCACCCAGACATTGCCAACGCACTCGTCAGGGCTTGCAACTTAGATTTGCAATGACACGAGCCATTCAGACATGCATGAAGGTATGGAGTAGATTACAGGTGGTTGGCTCTCAGATTTGCAAGTGCAGCTGCTTGCAGCCGAGGTGGGTGTTGACGTGAATCGTGGGGGTGGTCTCTTCGGTTCGCCGCTGCACGTGGCTACGGTCAATTTTGACCCTCAAATGGTATCTTGGCCCTTTCAGTTTTGCACTGGCTTTCTGTTTCATTCGCTGGTTTTCCTGCAGGTGATGCTTCTCATTCGTGGAAAAGCTGACGTGAATCAGACGGATGCTGACGGACGCGCAGCTTTACACATCTCGCCTAGAGCGTTCAAGAAAGTGCTAGGTTGTTTTGCTGCAGGAAATGCCCCACTGCACGTGCTGATGTCAGTTTTTGACAAGGCGGTCTTGCGAGCTCAAGCCTACTCTTGAGTTGGTTGTGTAGCATGTCTGCGTCGTGCTTGCAGGGTGGCAAGCGAGCGGCGGCAATTGGAAAGATTCTGTTGCAGCACAACGCCGATTGCAACATGCTGGGCGCTCTGCTGTCTCAGCGCCATGATGTGAGCGTCTGCATCATGCAACGCAGGATAATGAAGGTCAGTGCTGTATCAAACGTGTTAATTCAGCCGTACGATGTCAAGTTGTCATTGACAGATAGATGCTGGGATGCTGCAGGATGAACAGTGACAAGTGGGCACCGCTGCACTTGGCTGCAAGAAGAGGCGAAGCTTCGCTGGTGAGCTGTAAGTGCAGAACTGCTTTGGCTTCGCGACATCTTCATGCCAGGATTCTCGATAACTTTGCCTTGAATTCTCGCTAGCGCAACACGAAGACTTCGGAAACGGTCATGGCCTGTTTCAGGCCAGCTGCGTGGAATAGCCTTCGTGCTCAGGCCTGGAGTCATGGTTGAGTTTTGCGGTGCTTCTAGAGCTGCGAGCACATCATGTTTTGCGTGCGATGGCTCAGACTTCAGACTCCGACGGTCAGCTTTTACAACAGACATGGTTGTCCTTGAAGAAGCAGTGTCCTCAGCGCTCCTTTGCCTACTAGAGGGCGGTTAGATGCCTGATGACTCCTCCAGATCGAGCAGTCCCGGCTTGAGAGACGCCTCGTCCGAGCAGCCGGGTGCGCAGGAGAACGGGGGTGACCAAAGCGATGCTCTCAGGCAGGTGCCAAAGGTGCGGGCCTCTCAAGCTGCACTCAGCCTGCCGTCCAGCTTACCATCTCGCGCGGGACGCATGAGCAGAACACGAGGCCGCCTCAGCGTGATGCACGCAGATGCCCTGAAGTCGTCTAAAGCACTGCTGGAGCAGCGGCACCAGTCACACTCCAACGCCGGCAATGATGAAACCTTAGGATCCAGCCTGTCCGCATCTTCCGACCTCGCAGCGGCAGATGATGCAGCTCCACTCAGCGACAACCGCCATAGTTTGATGGAGCAAATGGCAGAGGCCAAAGAAGCGATTGAGGCGGCAAGGCTAGAAATCACTACGCTCGAAGCCTTGCACGGCGACTCCGCGCTGTGCTCGGAATGCTCGGAGCTGGAGGCCGAGGTCCAGGCAGCGAGGGAGGCAATCGCGGGAGCAAAAGCTGGAAAGGCCGCGGTGCTCGAGGCGTCCTTGGCAGAGGCGGTGTCCGAAATCGCTTCGCAACGGCTTCGCCTGGATCTACATGTGGAGGAAGCGATGCACCAAAAATCGGAGATGGAAGCACAGGAGGAGGTCATGAAGCAAGAACGTGTCAGCCTTCGATTGAGTGAGCATAAGTTGGCCGATGTCAACGCCAAAGTTGCTGAACAAGATGCTGAGAAAGCCGAGATGCAGAAGCATCAGTTGCAACAGCAGGATATGGAGAATGAGCAATGCAGGAGTGAAGTCGCGCAGTTGAAGGACGTGATCGCTGAAGCACAGACAAGCAGGGAGGCTCTGCTGGTAGAGCTGAGAGAAGCAACCGCTGATCAAGCACGCTTGCAGGAAGAGGTCTGGCAAATGAAGGCTCAGGCTGAGGACCTGGGTCTTCAGAAGCAGAACTGTGAGGAGCTGCTCAGCCAAGAGACTGCGACTTCAAAACAGCGGGCTGAAAGCTTGTCTGAACTTCTTGCGCAGCAAAGTCAGGAAGCGGAGGCAGTCAGCCAGGAACGGATCGAATTCGAATCGCGTGCTGAAACTTGGGCCAGGGAGCTACATGAACTGTCCGAGGAGTGTCGAACAGGCATCTGCCAACAGATGACCAACCTAAATGAGATGGAGATTTTGCAAGCTGAAGTTCGCCAGGAACGTCAGAAGAGCGCGGGGCTCGCAACAGCAGAACACAGGCTGTCCGTTTCTTTGGAGAACCACGAGAGCCTTAGCCTCAACAGATCACTTGGAGCAAAAGCAGGCCGTACTAACTGCCAAGAGGCTTCTGGTAGTGATCATGAGGAGCTGAGCGAGCAGATGGAGTATTTGCGCCAGCAGGAATTAGATTTGAGAAGGGCCATAGCAGCCCACAGGTACGTTATCCGAAACTCAACGACCTTGCCACCACCCGCTCCAGTAGATCAATCGGTTCCGAAGTCAGATGCTGCTTCGGCGGATGAGCCCATTGAGGACGAGATTGGTACAACAGTGAAGTTGTCTAATCGACCTAGCACGTCTGAGTGTCAGGATTTTCTGTTTGGCTTTCGGAGATCTGGCATGCCTGGCTCGACAATGGCCTGGCTGCATGGAGCGACATAGGGAGAGCCTGACAGAGCCATGAACGCCTTCATCGAAATGGAAGAGGCATTTCACTTCACCACGGGTATGGCTTCAGCAGCTGGACAGCGCGGTCCAGCCACAAGCTGTTGTTACCTTGCTTGGGTCAAGGCAGCTTGGTTGCCCTGCAGACTTGCCGAGTATGATGCCGTATGATCCATCGCGTTGCGGCAGGTACATCAAGGGTGCGAAGGGTCTCATTTCTTTATATTCTGTTTTGCTTGGGTCAGTCGGTCCACCGCGTCACCATGAGAGACTCTAGTCGCAGGACGGGCGTCCAGAAAGGAATCCACAGTTGGCCAAAGGAAGAGCTGCATCCTCGACGACATTTGCAGCAGCCGCACTTTTGTGGTTGCAGGGCTTTGCAGGCAGACCAAGAGGTTTCACACCTGATGTGTTTTGATTCGAACAGACTCTGGATTTTGATGTGGAAAATTGGTAAACTGCGCACGTCTGGCAGCTGTAGCATGCCCGTATGCAGCCTGTGTAGCAGCATGGAACTGATTGATTCGGCTGCACAGTAACCTGGACACCGCCGATGCAGCCTGTCACAAGGGCACCTGTGCTCACCAGCGCTGCCGACTTGTTAACATTCGGTCTGCAAATGAAAAGGGACCTATGCCAGCAACCAGGCTGCCAAAGAAGAAAGGCAGCCGAGTGCGGACCTGTCCGCGAGCCTTTGACCTGAACCTGAGGCCGGTTGGCAAGAGAAGAAACAATTCTTGCGCTGTTGGCGCTTGTGCATCCCAGGGGTGGTTCGCACTTGTGGACACCGCTTCACCTCGCCGGACATGCTTGCCATGTCAACGTAGTACCGAACTAAGTGTCCAATCGGCTCAGCTGTTTGCAATGCTCCGGCTAACCCAAACCACAGGTGCAGGTTCTCATTGAGGAGCGGTGAATCACCAGCTTTGCTTCTGCTGGATTCCATGCAAATGCACATTGCATGTCCTCGTGTAGGCCGGATCCGATGTTTTCCTTCGCAATGTCGATGGCCGGACGGCAAGGTCACCTGATTGTCTTGTAAGCCTAGCTGCGTTCCAGTCAAGCCTCATCTCGCCAGGCACGTCTCCCGCGGGAACTTGGCCATTTCCAAGCTCCTGCGAAAGGCTGAGGACGGTGCATGCGCAGAAAATTGGAGAGGATAAGCTTGGTTGGCAGCCAGGACGAATGGCTGTGGTACCGCATACATCAAGGCTTCGCTGACATGAAGGCAAGAATTTACCAGCACCCAGGGGGGAATGCAGCAATATGCTGCGCTGTGCTGCAGCTGTGCGAAACAGGAGACGGTGAAGCCTCTGGGAGATGTCAGTGCTGCAGCTGAGCCATCACCAGATGGTCGCCTCCTGAGGGTTGTGAACGTCAGAAATGAGCCATGCAGGGCCATGCATGCTGCTTCTTTGAGTTGGGGGTTCGCCTGGCCATGCAGCGCTCCTCAAGCGGTCCTTGTCTCAGATATTTAAACTGGTGGCCCTGATCTTGAGCTAACAGATTTTGGGATGTTATTCTGCCGTCAGGGATACGGACGAGTTATTGGAGACTTTCAGGGTCGATGATGACGAGGATGACCCTATAGAGGCGAGAGTCTGGCTTGGCAGTCCCAGACAAAGCTGACTGGAGCCGCACTTGCAAGGAAATTGCCAAGAACATCGAAGGACCTAGCAAGAAAGGCTCACGTGTTGCTGCTGTGCAATTTCTCGATCATGTTGACCCATTAGCTGGCGGTCCCTGGTTTGTGCGCCACTATGATGATGCCGGCAGGCTCCAGCTCACCTCCACAGGGCACCTCGATTCCACATCGCAGTCTTGGAGCCGTCGTTTTGTCTGCGGACTGAGGCCCACCTGACCCAGGCAGAGCACCTGCACCGCAGCTGCGAACAGCTTCGAGGCTTGTGTGGACAGCTGAAAGCTGAATTCCTATGAATTCCTATAGACCTGGCTTGATCAGGCCAAAGATGCAGCGAATAACGGAGAAGTGCCAAGACTCATACTTCTCCCGGGCAGGGCTGGCATAATTCTCCTTGCAGCTTCGAAACTACGTTGATGGCAACGCCAGGACGAGCTGCATGCGCTCCAGGCCATGAACTTTGCCAGGCCTCCTGGCGGAGGCACATCTAAAAGCTTACTCTTTGCTTAAAGGTGGTGCCATGGTACATCCAGCTGCCTGTCTTGCAGGTGCACAGACGTTCGTTGACAGTCTTTGCAAACTCTTGGAGAAGGGGCTTCTCTCTCAGCATTTACCGGCTTGGGATGCCCAGAGGTTTTGGCCTGTGCGTCCAGAGGAGAGGCATTGGTATGTGCTGAAGGGTTCAAATGTGCATGCGTGAAGATGCCAAACTTGCAACTTCTTTGCTCCTAGAAATGTTGTGCAGCATATTGAATCATTTGTGTATGCCAGAGACTGTGATGGTTGGCATCCCCACCCCGACCCTAACCCCATCACATCTAAGATCTCAGCCTTCACGGAATTAGAAGCCGATTGAAACCATGCGAAGACACATCCAGACTGTGTCGCATGCTGCACTTTTGCTTCCAGCATGTTCATGCAACCAAGGCCAAAGCAGCGCCTGCCGTACCTTCTGTCCAAAGTGTGGGTCAAGGACTCTCCTCCATTTGCAGCAAGAAGGTGCGCAGGATCTTTGCCTTGACAGGAACTGATCCCGGAAGTCATGGAGAATGAAAAATACCATCATGTCCTCCTGAGCCCAGACCTTGTCTGCAACGAGGCTGGGAATGCTCTGCGCCATAATTAATCGTAGTAATTAGCCATAGCAAAGAATAGTCATCAGTGTTTAACAGTGTCTCAGCAGCAGGTATACTGATCCTAGTACGTAATTGGAGCGAAAACTTTGACGTTGCAGGACTTCCTGAGGATGCTTGTCAGCAATCTGCCTGGAAACAGGCCTAGATATCTGGTGAACTGTTCGAATTCGCCCGGTCTTTACTGCCCAAGCTGCAGGTTGCCAATACTGGGGAAAATGCGCAACAATGACCAGGACTGTCCTTCCCGAATGACTGGCCCAGGGGGTTTCAAAGTGAAACGTTGAGACTTGCCATGAGGATACGTTACTGCACGTGGTCTGCAAAGGCCGCAGCCTTGGATTTTTGTTTTTTTTCTTCTGTTAAGATGTTGAGTGCTGGTGAGGCATGCATGCAGTCAGCCCCGGTGCCGACATCCTCTCCTTCCTGCTTTCGGTACGACATGTGAATTCAGAAGTCAATTCACTCCAGCATCTGATCTTGCCAGGCCTGCCCCCAGGACACTTTTGATCTCGAGGCGCGCTTGCATGGAGGAGATAGATGCAGTCTCTCTCTCTCTCTCTCTTTCTCTCTCTCGCTCTCTCTCTCCCTCCCTCTCTCTCTCTCTCTCTCTCTTGCTCTTTCCGTCCCTAAGAGCCTACCCCGTGCAATTCGAGTGGGACAGGCTCGAGACTTGCGAGGGCAGACCGCGCTTCACCTTGCTGCGCAGAACGGCGACCTCGGTCTGAGCCTCGAGTTCCAAAATTAAGGATCCCTTTTTGGTCCCATAGTAGAGCTTATGGTATATTGGGGTCTTCATTGGGTCCCTGCAGTGACAGAACACGGAAACCACCACATGATGAAGTCTAAGACGAAGACCTACTTCAGGCCTAGTGCAGGTGTTGCTGGACAACAGCTGCCATCCCAATTCTCAAGAGGACTCTCGATACGCTGAGTTTTTAATGTTTTGCTGCAGTCTCTGGCATTTTCTTAGCAGGAGACGACGGGATGGACGCCACTGCACTTTGCCGTCTCAAAGGCAGCGTTGGGAGAGCGTTGGAGCCTGACTTTTTAGCTCGGAATGAGAAGTGGTCCGGGTTGCGAAGCCATCGTTCCAAGCGGCATCAAATTCTGAAGCTAGGGAGCCGAAGGAAGTGAAATGGTTCTTGTCCAACCTTCCACTTGGATTTCGGAAGCCTAGAATGCGGCCTCCGTTGCACAAACGGCTTATTCTAAGCTACTTTAACTGTGCCCATTTGCTGCCACAAAGAAGAATGTGGCAACCCCGGCAAGTCCATTCCGTGTGGCAGTTAACAATTGCCACACGGAGACCCCCGACAGCCAGTTTCCACCCGCTGCACCGCTTGCAAGCAGTTGCCAGAGAGTTCTTCAAATTCTTCAAGAACCTCAAACACCAAAACCCCAAACTGCAGCACTTGACACAACATGGGGACGGTCTTTGGTCACAACTTCAGCAGTAGAAGTCATAACACTGGCGGCAGAGCGATTGAAGCGACTGCAGATCGCAAGGAGAGCGTTCCATTCTGCTTCGCGGGTCGATACGTTTAGCCAATTTGGGGTTTGCAGAGATGGCCTTGAAATCTAGAGCTCGCCCGAAAGCGTTCGAAGTGCGCCAGGCTCATTATAGTGTCATTCTGCAACTCTTGCAGCATGCCGAGACGGATGTCAACCAGGTGGAGCACTCCAGCAGGAGCAAAACAGCGTCTCCGACTGTTTTGTTTGTCTCAGGTTGACAAGTTCGAGTGGCCCCCAATCCTGGAAGCCTGCTCAAGGCTATGTGCCAGGTCCAAGGCCGTGTTTGCAGTGAGTCACTCCGGCAGGTTGGATGCTCGAGCAACAGCTCTGCTCGTCAATGGTCGAGCTAACCTTGCATTCCGGTGCCCAGCGCAGTTGCAGAGAGCATCCTTTTTGCATGTCATGTCCTCTGTTCGTTCCTGTGCAGATGCTTCTTCCCCTGTTGACTCAGGAGCCAGCACCAGTTTGACGTGCTCAAAGCTGTTGATACATCCAAGAAGGATGGAAATTTTGGTGGATTGAAGCAGCGGACATGAGAAAGTCCGTTTTGACTCGCATGACTCATGACGCACAATGGCTGAAGCTGAAAGGATCTGGCAGCCAAGCGGTGGATGTCCTGCCTAGTGGTCTCGAATGGATTCCGTTTTCAGGACCCCAGCCCACTGATTTGAAGCTATGCCGTTGAACTTCCGAACCAATTTGCAGGAGTCTTCCGTCCAGCTGACTGCCGAGGCCATGCTGTTCCGCTGCATCTTTCTCTGGTGCTCTGAAGCTTTGCCACAGACTGCCAGGACAAAGAAACTCTGCAAAGGGAGCAAGCATACTTCAACACTCGCTCCATCCCAGCAGCCGCCTGAGTGCAGGTGTATATTGAACGTTCTCATGACTGAGTAGCCATTGATGGCGCCATGCAATAGATAAGTCGGGGGTGTGGAGTTGCCGAAGACTGTTAAACAGCGTGAGGCAACCCATCCTCCTTTTTTCGTGCCTGACCACTTGGCCCCACGATGCCACAGCTGCAAGGTACCTTCCTCGCATTCATTAAGAGAGCTGTTTGCTCTTGAGCAGTTGTCTTGTCAGTTCAGCGAACTAACAGCTTCATCTCCGCGTCTCAAGCGAAAGGTTCTCTTCTCCGTCACCGTGCGCAAACCGCTCAGTGTGAGAGCATGCCCTGGAAGAAGTTGTGTGCAACCATCGGGGTTCAGGAAGATATCACTGTAGAAGTTGTGGCCTGGTGCTATGTGGGAACTGCTTCAAGTGGAGGCCACTTGCATATCCGTGGCAGTGATGGCTGCTGTGGCTGGCTAGTTCGCTGTTGCTTGTGAGCCGCCTGGCCGTCTGACCTCTGTGGCTCAAGTGTGTCACTTGTAGCCTCAGTTTGACGCTTCGCCGCCCTGTGTGACTTGGCTCGGATTGATGCACTCCTAGGCAGAACGCTGCTGCCTGGATTGCGACATACTCCGACAGAACTGAGGCGGTGCATGAAGCGTGGCCCACCAGGGCAAGAGCAGCCTCCTCGGGCCCAGCTGGGTTGCGCGTGCTTGCGCCGTTCTGTTGCAGTCCTGCAGCTAAGGCCGTCAACCCAGGTCAAGCGGCAAAAAGAGGCAGACTGCGCGCATGCAGTGGGCATGATCTGTGCACGCGGGCTGATGATCCCGAAGCTGTCAGATGGATGGAGCATCTGCTCCATCTTCAGCATCCGCTGAAAGAGAGCACCTCATGCTCATGAAGGCCCCTGCGTCATCGCACTTCAGAATATCCATTGTAGCATGGTGAAGGCAAGAGCGGAGCAGAGGCAGAGCAAATCCTGCATGCTGCTTGCTTTATGGCTGGCAGGTGCTCCAACCTGCGCAGGCGCCTGCGCAAAAGCTTAGCGTGGCCAACGTTCCTCGGCATGGTTGCGTCTTGGGTATGATGCTGGTATGCCTCAACAGCTGAGGTTGGGGAGTTCCTGGATGCGGAGGCAATGCCTTTTTCCATTCCAGATGCTTTTCCACTTCGTGTCTTGGCAAAGGCCGCCCGTCTGTCTCGTGACCGTGGCCTGGAGGAAGCAATGCTTTTCCTGGCACAGCCAGGGCCTTGAGACCCAAAACCTTCACGGGGTGGACCATGTGGCACTTTGCCTGAGGGGCTGGAGAAGATGTGAGGCCCTGCCATGTCACCAGTGCTTCTGGAGAGCCTTTTAGTTTCATCTCAGGAGGGCGGTTCGGTGCCATCTACCTGGGATGGCATAGCGCCGTTCCAGGAGGCCATGGAAGGGTGAGACATCGCATGAATCGCATCTAAGCTTGCTCTTCGTCAGGCGGTTCTGACCGTATCCCTGGCGCAGCTACTGGGTGCCTCGTCCGAGCAGAAGGCCGCAGAACAAGCTTGGCGGTGACGTTGAGGCTAAGAACTGCTCTCCATGTTGAAGGTGGCTTTGATCCTCTCGCTGCTGAACAGCCGCGTACCGGTGAGGCCATCTGGCTTGCCATACCCGGTTGCCTTTGATGAAAGTATTCCAGCGCTTGAAGTTAGGCTTCTGAATGAGCTCCTGGTTGCAGCTGCAGAGGAGCTTAGCTTAAGGTCCCTCTCAACTCTCCAAGTCGCCGCCTTCAGGACGATGCAGTTCCAGCTGCACTAGTGTCTAAAATAGCTGAGCAGCTGAGAGGTCGGTGCCGGGCCTACCCGCGGGGAGGGCGGGTTGTGTGTGGGGCTTGTCTCATGCATGAACTTGCAAACTCTGAACGATTTCTGAGGACCTTGAACGACCTCCGAAGCCAGCAGTTTAGTCAGCTAATTCATGTGTCAGCGCCTTAACAGGATCGCAGCGTTCCCCTTCAGTTTGAGCTAATAAAGCAAGTTCTGAAATGACAAATGCTCCGTTTACACACGGAGCGTGGGAGGTAAGCAGAGCTGCTTGTTGAGACAGGCTCTTTGGTTGAGATCGTCTAGGCTGCATGGTTGCGTGCTGGCTGAGGTTGCGGGCGAGGAAAGACAAGAAAGAAAGCAAGTATATCAACGCCTTGGTGTCCGCACCTCTCAAGGAGGTCTGCAACCGCCGGGTGCAAAAAGAACGTCGCAATATAACCAGATGCATGCAGGAAATTTGGAGGCCAGCTTTTGAGCCAAAGTTTGTTGGTAGCCCAGGTTTGTGCCGGAATGAGATACTGCAGAATCGGCCGCTTCTGCTGCAGACAAGGTGTGGAGAGGACGCAAGAAGGAGATCATCTGCAAGCAGCTGGATGGTCTCTTGTTGCAGGCCAGAGTTTGCTGGCATTGCATTGCTCTATCCATCCAGCCCTACTGGTTTCTGAACTGTCAGGAGAACACCTTACTGGGCTGGGCATTGTCGCCATCAGCGTTGGACAGCGCTTTAGCCCCTCCATCCAAAGCACACCTCACAGAGGTGAGTGGTTTCGCAGCATGCATGACCTCGGTCGTCGATGACCGCTGCTGCGTAGGCTGGCTCCAAAGAGTGGGAAGGCCTGGGGCGCGCCACACGACAGCGAATTGATGGACTGCAGAAAGGCAAGGCTCGGTTTTCCAAAATGGCAGCCTAGCACATGACGCTGGATAGGCTTGCAGACCAAGCTGACAAGTTCGCAAGACCAGGCTCCCTGGTGCAGCAGTCCTTGAAGGAGTTGAAAGTGCAGGCGTCGTTTAGCACCTTTGTGCAGGCCGCAGAATTCGTTGACATCCTCCTTAGAGCCGGAGTCTGCCCCTCGATGAGAGCTGAGCGCAGTTTGCCTCATCTCCATCTGTTTTGTTATAGGATGAGCCACGAATGGCCGTGCTTGAGTGGCTGGGAGTTGCAGCCTTGGTGCAACCACTGGATGATCCAAGCAAGCTGTCAAAGAGGCTCTGACAACATGAGGCCATCATCACGGCAGCAGAACCTCGCGGCCGGCAAGGCCAGCCAGCCCCGGAAGGGTCTGCGACCCAATCGTGTGTTCAACAACGTGAGAACCAACGGCCGGGTTTGGTCCAACTGAGGTTTAACTTCTGGCCGCAGTATGGCAACCATGTGATTGATTACATGCAGCAGTTGGAACCCGGCTCCTTTGAGAAGTCGCTGAAAAACCTGCTTCTCTTGCAGGCGTAAAACTCTGCTGGCCTCTTCTGTGTATGCTGGCTGCGTTCGTAGTCAATTTGGGAATCCACGAGCCGCAGGCTCTGCATGCTCGTCTTCAAGGCTTCGCAACAAGCGGTATGTCCTTGAATACTTTCACACTGTCCAGAGCTTAGATGCAGGGCCGCGCGTCACATGAGATTTGTTGACACATGGCTCCTGACACTCCAGGTTACTGCACTTGATAAAGCCTATCAAGTCAGAACAAGCATCGAGCATTTCAGTTGCGACCTTAGACACTGGAGCCGGCATGCATCCGGAGCATGTCTGTAGAAAGTGAAAGGTCATGTGCCCAAGGCCTGCAAAGTCTCTTTAACTATTAGATTTTCTTATTGTTGCCATTTGTTGCTTTCGTTTTTTTGTATTTTCCAGGTTTTTCGCGAGGTCAATTTGGACCGCGGTTGCCATTGGGACTGCAACAGCAGCGGCGACTGTTGCCGCCTTCCCAAGTGATCGTGGCAACTTCAGCTTTCATTTCAAGTCCCAGCCTGTGCTGAAGTTGTTTCGACTTCTTTTGGATTTGAAGTAGGTGTTCTAGCTCGCTCCATTAGATAATTCTTCCCTCGAGTTGGTACGTGTCAAGCTGGCATCGATTCTTCATAAACGTTTGCCAGATTGTCCTTCTATGGAGCGCGCCGTAGATGTTGCCCTTGACGGTGCCCTTAAACTGGCGGCCTAAAGTCCGAAGGTAGGATTGCCTTTATATTGAGACGTTCAGGCACTGCGGGCGCAGGTCCCACGCAAGGTTTTCAGGAAGGTGTCCTGCGATGCTGCAGGGGCGGCTTTAAGGGCGAGTTCATGTTCGGCATTACGGCCGGAGGAGTTTACGGGCGGTGTTTACCGACGGGCGGTTTGGCTGTTGCAAGGCCGGCTCCAATCAGTTGAAGGCTACCGGGCGCATGGCTGTTTTTGGGTCTCACTTCTGTATCTGAAAATGAATTACATCAAAATTCCGAGGGAATTAGTGGCGAATGAGGTCTGCAGGGGGGCTAGGGCAGATGTGAAAAGTGGATGAAATGAGGTGGCAAGCCGGCCTGCAAACAGGGTGGGACATGTACCTCATTTCGTCATCCTGTTGACTTCGCCTTGCCCTTTTTATCTTCGCATTCTTCCCTCTCCGCCTCTCCGCTGATCAAATGGCGTGTGCCCTTCTTGCAGGCCAACACGCACCGTTCTGAGACCCGAGGATGGATGAAATCTTGAGAATGGTCAAGATGCGTGAACGACCTGCAAGGTTGAATGGTAAAAATGGAACAAGAGCCTGGACAACTCAATCTGAAAAAACAACTTTTTTGCAACTGGTTTTGGCAGGGAAGCTGTGCAGATGTTGCAGAGAAGCCCAGCAGTGAGAAAGCGCACGTGACAAAACAAGACACAACAATTCAGCTGGAAAGCGTAGAGCCTTGTGCGCTCACAATCTGTGACTGTATTTAAATCGCTGCACTACGACATGTTGTTGCGGCAGGTTTTCTTCCCGTTGCGCGAGGATGTTCCGCAGCTGCTTGGAAACTACAAAAAAGAGGCGATGGCCCTTTCCGCTAGGGAATGGATGAATTCGTGTTTCGTAAGTTGCTTCCTTGGCTTTAACTTAACTTCAGGCCCGGTTCGGAGAGAAGGAGCAGGTTGAGGCCGCTTCAGAAAAGGCGAAGTCTGCCCAGCTCCAAGACCTGGCAATTTCTGCCTTCTTTGAAATGAGCCGTGCCCAAGGAACCAACTTACACAGCCGCGCTGAGTGACAAGACCCTCTTCAAGTCAGAGGTGTGCTCAGAGTCTGCGATTTCTCAAGAACCTTGCGCTTGGGTTGCCAGATCTTCTGGCTCGCCACGAAAGGGATTGGCTCTTTGTTGCTGCCTCAGTGTCGGAAGCCACGAAGGACACTGGACCATGAGCACTCTGCGGCTGCGTCGTCCCAGGCTTATGCCAGTCGCGAAGGAGGCCTTCCACGCTTGGCAGGGAATTGCGTCGGTGTTCTACGACAAGGACCGAAGGTGTGTTGCATTAAATTACGACTTGCAGATGTGTAGTGTGGTTGATGCTACACAAGGACCGGCAGATCGCAGATACGGCTTGGCGAGAATACCTGCTCTCAGAAGCTGCTCTCAAGGAGCTGGTGGGGCTGCATCAAGAAAAGACTTTCCCATCTGGCGGTTGCTGTTAGAGAGCTTCCCAGGTGTGTGCCAGTCTGATCCAGCTGTGCAGCCTTCTGCTTGCTTGAAGCTGAAATACAAGCTCCAGGTCGCTCCCTTGATGAGGAGCCCAGATTCCTGGAACGTTTGGCCCACCTTGTGGATCTCACCTTCAGATTCCTACAGATGGCAGCTGCAGGGGATCACCAGGTTTGGTGGAGTAGTGCTGCATTTCGATGATTCGCACGCCTTGTCAGGCACTGCCTCCACCTCAGCCTGGACCCACCTGGCACGTTGTGCCCAGCTCCGCAGGGGCCTTCTTGAGGATGACCGCCTTTGGTGATCTATGTCGTGATTTCTGCTGCGCCAGTCCTTCGGATGCTTCAAAGGTCTTGGAGAACGTTATCGAGCTTTGCGATCTGTACCGGGATCGCGACCGAAGTAAGTGTTTGGGTCTCATTTGTTGAAACTGTTTGTGATGAGCCATGCTAATGCAAATTGCACCCCTCCTGACTGCAGCTGGCGGCATACCGACGGGGTTGTTCGTCCACCTGGATCCCGACCCAGTCCTGACGACGCTTTGTGTTGCCAAGCACTTGGAAACCATGAAAGTGCATGGAGAAGCCTGGCAACGACTGCGCCTGCAAGGTCATGGCCTCAGAAGACCATGTCAGGGACCCATCCTTGCGTGGGCGTGCTGCCTGGGCCTTAGAAAGCAAATGCAATGCAGCTTTGAGCTTCAGTCTTCTCAGCACAGGTCAAGCTGCTTCATCGCTTGTGCTTTGCCTTCCGGGCTTGGCGGGACCTACAGTGACCTGCTTGTTTGAACTGACGATGTCAGAAATTAAAGGTTCATAGCTTACAGTCCATCTCCTGCATAAGTCATGGGTCAGCTAGGTGTAGGGTACCCTTCATTCCTTAGCTATGCAGTGATTGCACATTTCCAAGGTGTCCTACTGTTCTGTAGGGTACCCTTGATTTCTTAGCCCGTTTCTGATTCCAGGGTTCGAGCCCCTTAATACTGAGGGCTGGTGCTGAGAGAGTCGCCTCATCCATTCGGCCATGGAGCCTCCAACTCCCAATGCGCAGTGCAAGCATAGCTTACATCCACATGGAAGCTGCATGAGTTGGCTGATTGCGCAGACCCCTTACCCTTTCCCTTCAAATGTTTTTTCGTGTCATGCAGCCGACGCAGCCGCTTCTGAATCAGTTATTTCTTGTACAGTGATTGCGTTGTATTTCTTGTGAGGACAAGCTCAACTTGCCCCCGCTTGACAAGCACCTTATCCCATGCCTGGTGAATGTGGGGACCCAAAGATGTTGAAGCAGGGTGAGACAGTTGAAGCCATCCCTGATGATTCGCACACAGGTCTTCATTGCTGTGGAGAAGGCCATCATGAGCTACTATGACTTGTCGTACCGCTACAAGTACGAGGCAGGAACTGTGGGCACAGAATTTCAGGCATGCGGCACGTGACCCGCTCGGCAGTTGCGCGCTCCCGTCATGGACCTTTTCGACTTGGCCCTTCAAACAGAAGGCCATCGCCAGGCCACAACAAGTTGATGCCCTCTTTTAGCCCGCTTTGCCTCGTCTCTGTGCTTGGCTGTGGCGTACTTTTTCATTTCTCGCCTCCAGCCTCAGGTCCTTCAGGTGTTCATCAATGGCGAGGGCAATGATAGGTTTTTGAAGGCTGACGGTGAGTACATGGGGCAAGCGCCAGAGTGTGGTGCTCTGCGCAGTTGCTTACCCAACTCATCAACGACAGCAACTCCCAGATCGAGGAGGCTATTAGAACCGTCAAGGACGGCAGAAGCGTCCAACGTAGCCTGGGACTGGGATGTCACGCTCGCGCAGCTTCAGGAATACCACCAGAAGCAGGGCGAAAGTGCCGCCTCAGGTTCGGCAAGAGCCCCATCCAGAAGGCTCACATTCCTTGGCTTCCGCGCAGAGTGTGACAGCCATGAGGCCCCACAGAGACATGATGAGCAGGTCCGCCGCAATGCAAAAATTAAGTTACTGCAGAAGTTGGTCATTCAGAGCTATTGGGTCCACAGTCTTTAGAGGTCCTGGACGATGACCGAACCGGTGAAGGAGATGAGGCAGAAGACATCTACAGGCGGAGCCGGATGAATTACAAGGCTCCCAGCAATATCCACAGTTGGCGCTGGCATGGAGCCGAGCCATGCTTTCGCTTCGCACATGAGAGGAGCATGCCAAGAAATACTTTGGCTTGGCTTCCAGGCCTGGTGCGAAAGGTAGGTGTGGGAGCATTTCTGTACAAGCCAGGACATGGAAGCAAATGTGGCTGCTGTGCAAGCTCTGCGCTCCAACCATTGTAGCCGGCTCTGATCCCAGAGAGATGTCATCTGCTTGGTCGCAGCGAATTCCACTGACAAGCCATAGTCGGGTGCATTCAGCAGCACTTTATCATGTTCCATTCCGTCCATTGCATTTCTGTTTTGCACGATGTTTGAGGCCGGGCCACGCTTGAGCAGCTTCTGCACTCTTCGCTTGACGCGCCACACCGCAGCGATTGGATCCAGGAGTTTGACAGGTTAAGTTGAGGCTTAAACGCAGTAGGCATGAGGTCATATGAGCCACAGTCTAAACTCCTTAAAAGGGGTTATATAGGGGATTATGTAGGGGAGTACTATAGGGGATATTAAGGGGGATACCAGGAGTTTAGACTGTAGCTCATATGTTCTGACCAGTGCCTTCCACTCCCAGCCCAGGCAGCTTCACTATTTGGTAGGCCTGGGCTGCAGTCCTGCCTGAGTTTTGATGTAAGGGCCCTGTCATGCAAGGCCCGGAGATGAAGTCCATCAAGGCTTCGCCTCAGGAGTATGACGAGCTTGGCTTCAACCCCAAGGCGAGACGGGTGATTCAGAAGCGGTTTCAAAGCGCTGGAGATATTGTTCTATTTGGAGTTTCAAGGAGCTCGTGAAGCAGATTGCAGAGATCTACCTCTTCCTTGCCAAGGCCAACAAAGCAGAGGCCGCTTCCCTGTCTCTGCCAAGGATCGTCGTGGAGAGATCTAGCAGTCACCTTTCTCCTCAGGTTGTTCGGGTGGTTGGCAAAGATGAGCGCTACTACAGCGACTTTCCTGCACAGAAGGGCATCAATTTCTGTCTGTTTGGTACAATCCTCCAGCTGAGGCAAAAACACCTTCAGCAAAGCCACCAACTTTGTCAGGCCTTGGTACCATGAACTGTGAGAAGGCTTCGAATCAGTTCGCAATTCCGCGGGCAGGAAATATGGTCTGCTGAGCAGCAATGACCTTGATGAGTTCACAGACTTCTGCAAGGAATCGCTCGCAGCCGCTTGCAGCTCTCGGACTCTTGCTTGTTTTGCTTCAGGAGCTTGCAGAAAAAGTGTCTCAACACCGCGCAGCCTTCGACGAGGTTTTTTTCGGGTGCTGGGGCCTTTTGAAGATTCCTGGCCAGGGTTGCGTGCGAGGCTGAGATCCCGGCGAATTATCTCTGCGAGATAATGGCCGACATCATGTCGGATCCTGTGATGTTCCCTCAAAGCCGCAAGGTCAGCTCCTGAACCGGTCGGGCACGAATAGCTTGGTGGGCCTTTCTCAGAGTCTGGACATACACAGGTGGCAGATAGAACCGCGGCTCTTCGGGTCATCATGGGCATGCGGCTGAGATAACACCATGCCGCATATACCAGAGAGCAAGATAACTGGATGTCTTTCTTGCAAGGTGCGGACAAGGATCCTTTCGCGAATACGCCAGTCAAGGTCGAGGACGCTTGGAAACGATGACGTGGAGACATGCTGTTGTGAAGCTGATGTCCCGGAGGACCTCATACCCCAGACAGAGCTGAAGGAACAGATACATCGCTTTGCCAAAGACAACGCCGGGGATGGGGCTCCAGTGTCACATGGAGGGCTTTGCATGCGGCAGTGTTCACTCAGCTCTGTATTAAAAACTGATTCGGAGACATCATTGGCCACTTATCACAAGCCTTCAACAATCCTTCAGCATTCCTACTAAACATATCAAGGATGCAGTGGGGAATCATAAACCTTGGCATGCGTTGGCCATGCGCAAGTCAGTGGCTGAACCTCCTTCAGCCTTGCTTGCTTCTGCAGGGCATCGCGCTCGAAGGCGGCAATATGTTCGACTGACAGCATTTCGATTGTATCTTAGCGATGGAGCGTTGTGGTGACAAAGCCTGCCTTTGCAAGCTTGTGTCGCCTTGGCTGCGCAATAGCGGGAAAGACTGCGCAGCTAGACTGCTTGTACAAAGAAGGGAAGGATGCTGCGCAAAGAGCTTGCCCATGGCGCTCAGCGTGGCTGCGTTCCCATGAGTCTAGACTCTTTGGCTGCCGGCTGCCGAAAAGTTTCTGCTTCCGGCAAGAAGCAGGTTTTTTGTCGAAAGCAGTGCTACCGTTGATCTCACAGCATTGGCAAGGGGCATCATCATCGTTCCGCTGGATGAGAGGACGAGCGCCAAGGCTGGGTTTTGACAGATCCCGTGGTTCCCCAGATAACTTTGACTGGACAGCCAGTTCTCCACACCTGGACTGCAGGTCCAAAAACTTATTGGCTCATGCTACGTCATGCAATTGCATGGTACATCTAAATCCCTGCAGGTCAACATGCTAAACGAGTCGCGCTTGACAGCAGCCAGATCCTCACAATTTGCTTGAACATGAAGTTCCAAGCGTCCAGCTAAGCGCTTAGCTGAGGCGGTGGAGCTCTCTCTCGACAGAGGACGCACCCTTTCACTTTGGGATGGAGGCAAGCAAAGACCAGATTCCTGCAGCACAGGAGGAGCGACCCCAGGCTTCATGCATGAGCCTCAAAGAAGGCATCCTCGCAGGTTGCTGGTGGGCACGGGTGTGGCTAACAAGTGCGGTCTTCGAGAGTATCAGAACCTCAGGGAAAGTGCCTCAACATCTTTGGGAAGAAGCAGGAACCCGCAATTCTAGGGCTTGCGTCTTGTAGCTTGTAACCTCCTGGTCCCCTTGAGTAACAGGATGGGATGATTTCGATTTATACCACGCATTTGACAACTCCTACCGTTCTACGTAGTAGCACTCTAGTTCAGTGTAGCTGTTTGCAGGACAGCTTTCGCTCTGACCTGTTTTGGACTTTCGGAGCTGCAAGAGCTTTACGCAATCAGCCGCTCAGGCCCGAAGATTTCCGGCCCAGCGAGTCCGAGGCGGTACCGGCAAGACCTTCAAACTGGTCCGTGCTCTTCACCCTGCCGGGTTGAGGCTGCGGCAAAGCCTGCAGCAGATGCGCTCGAAGGTTCCATGCAAAGTGGCTAGATCACCTCGTTCCAGTCCGTTCGTTTCAGGTGGTCTGACTCGTGAAAGAGGAGGTGGAGTCGTGCCCATTATGCCAACAAGTGGCGCCCATCTCAGGCAAAGTTTTAGCCCGGGGCAATCTCTCTCCTCTGATTGTCCACAACAAATTCACAGGTTGAAATTTAGTACTTGGATTCTGTCCTGGAGTTTAAATTGCGGTACTTGCATCTTATCCTGGGCAGAGCATCATGGTATAGCTGTTTTGCATAGCTGCAACTGGTCTCTATCGCCTTGCAGATGAGTCCGGGCCTGAACCTCGTCCCTACAACTATGCAAGTTTCGAGTTTCGTGCAAGTCTACCTTCACTGCATCAAGCTCTGCCCTGCACATGGTTGGCAGGAGTGGACGAAGGAGCACCTAGAACCTAGCATTTGCAATTCTCATGCGGAGCCTTCCAAGGTCAGGCTCAGATGGTGCGGCTCTGTGCACCATGCTGCACGTTCTTCGAGGCTGCGGAGATGCGTGGTAAGTCTGAGCAGCGTCGGCGCCTGACCAATCTGCCAACATTATCCGGCATTGCCCACCACTCTAGAGTTCGGGATGGCGGCCCCCCACGCCGAGCAGCCCTCACTAGTTCGGACGGCACCACTTGGATAGGCTGGAGTTGGCGAGACCTACTCCATGCAAAGGAAGTCCTCGACAAACGGTGCTCCTACCGCGTTTTCTGATGTCGTGCATTTTCAGTGAGACTTGTTGTCTGCCAGGTGCCACGATGCTGTGATGGCTACTTAGAGAATCTGTCACGCTCGGCAACATTGGTCCCGAAAAAGTGAAGCGTCTTGAACCGGTCGTTCGGGCGGAGCATGTCTTCAAGAACTGCAGCCAGGACACGTGGACTCCAAAATTTGAATGTTTTTGCCCTTTGGGAGACTGGGTTTGGAGTATCTTTGGAGTGCAGGGACTGCACCAATGGGGCGCTTGAAAGATCATACCAGTAGGGCTGTGGTCTTGAAGACGGGTCTGAGAGGCGAGAAGAGCCTGTAGAGAGCACCGGTGACTCGCCCGGTGCTTAAGTTTCACGTTCCGGAGATCTGCAAATCTGGGGAAGCGTTAGCTCCAGAAATCTGACCGCTCCAAAGTGGAGCGGTATTCGCGTGAAAAATCCAAGCAGACGATGTGGTCCATGGGTGAAGAAACCATTGCTCAGCACATCAGCTCAGACGATGTTGTGTGATGTTCTGCAATTGCTGTGTTCTCTCAAGCGCTCGCATTGGCAGTTGAGTCAAGCCAGTCGCTGCCACAGAACATGAAGAGTTCTGCAGCAACAGAAGCCCAAACAGTCTCCAATTTTCTCCGTCTCAGGCCAGCATGGCCGAGGCGGAGGAGACCGCGGCCGTCCCGCGCCTACTCGCTGGCATTCATTTCGGCCATGTCATAGCTTGGTGGGGTCCATCTTTTCCCGACGCATTCCTCCAGATTGCCTGTATGAAGTGGGGGTAGATTGACCTCCCTTTTATGGCCGGCTCGTAAGGAGCATGCAGGTAGAGACAGTTTACGTATGGATCATCCCCACCCCCATCATATAGAGGAGTGCGCCGTCACATTTGCCACCTCTCCCCCATTTTATATGGCCGTTCCCCCCAATTCTATAAAGCGTCATGTTCTGGAACATTCTGGGGCGAAGCACGAAGCAGTGTACTTCTGCTTACATTGTCGCGTGGGACAGATATCGACACAAAAAGGAGAATGGAAGTGTGGAGCCTGTCTCAGTGTCACTGGAAGATACTGCAAACGTTCAGTAAGGACCAGGACGCATGCGAGGGAGGGTCGCGACGGGGACGTGGCACGGCACCGTGTTGGGACCCCTTGTATAGGCGGCCCACAGCGCTTTGTATGGGCGATTTCTGGCCCGTTATAAAAGGCCCTTTGTAAATCTCAGGTAGATTCTCATCAAGAATTCTAGACCGTCACCGGTTACAAGCTACAGGATGTGAAAAGCTTGTGAAACCAGGTCCTCCCACAATAAGCTATCAAGCGACATCACAGCACTCATCTCATGCGCATTTTCCAGGGGTGACCCCCCTGATATGACTCGTGGGGCAGCCATTTCATAGAGACCATGGCGCATTGCCCAACATGATCGTGAGCATCAGGCGCCCGAAGACGCAGCGGTGGAGGAAGCCCCGCCTGCCGCTGCCGCTGCTGAGCCCACATCGGCTCCGCAGGCCGACCTTGCCTGAAGCATCCTGAAGCCTGAAGCCTTCTACTTCTGGCATTGTCTGGAGGAAGCCGAAAAGAAGAAGAAAAAGAAGAAAAAGGCTGAACGCGTTCTCCCATCTCGCCTTTCTTGAGAAAAGACCTGCTGACAGGTGAAGGAAGTAAAGTCTGTTTTCGAGTCGACACCGGCACAGTCATCTGCTGAATTTTCCGCATCGAAAGCGGTCCTCCCGCCCTTGCCGCTTTGGAAAGCTTTTGTCTTGAATTTGATTTTGACGAGGCTTGTAGTAGTAGGCACTTGCGACATGACGAAATTTGTCTGGGTTGCGCCTAGAGCATGGGCAAGTCATGTTGAGCAGCTAGGCCATGTGAATCCTGAATCTGACTTCGGCCATGGTGTCTTGAGCGTTGGCTTCGCAAAGTGAGCATGAGCAACCATGACAATGAAGAGGTTTATGTCAAGCTTCCTCCTATTTTCGTCTACCACTGCTTTGTTTGCTAAGAGGACTGACGTTGTGTTCTGCCATGGCGCTGGAAGACTCATCCGACGACGAGTACTGGGGGTCTTATACCACGGCCCCACAGGACTGTAAGTCTGGAATGCAAGCTGTGAGCCCAAACCTACCACAAAGCGCCCCGTGCAAAGGAGAGATTCACCATTCCGCAATTAACCCAACCTTGTCCACGCCTCAGCACTATTCTATAGTGGCTTGCGAAATTAATCTGCCTTATCCACAGATCTTCCCAACTGAAAGGCCGGCCCGAGCGGCCATGGCTGGATCAACGAGACTCTGAGAACTTGGCTGAAGGCGGGTTGCCTGAGAAAGAGGTCTGGGGCGGAAGCTCTTTGTCAACAACATGCTCCCAGGACCCCTGAGTGGTTCGAGCTTTTCCAAATGTAGCTACGGCCACATGTAGGGGCTCAAGAAGGACGATTTATGAGCTAGTTGCTACGTGCCCAGCTCGTAGGATGCGACCGAGATGCAGGCAGATGCGGTCATTTCTGCCCGCAACTAAACGAAAACTTGAATGTTGGGTCTGCTTCATGTGTGGCACAGTGAGGTCGAGAATCGCACGTTCACGCTTCATGACCTGCTTGGGTTCGGGAGTTTTGGCTCCGTCGCCTGGGCGCACTGAAGAGAATCTGCCATGCACGTGGTGCATTCTCAGCAGTTCCGCAACACGTGAGGTTTGGAGGGCAAGCTGTATTGCATCTGGGAAAATCGTTGCCTTGAAGGACAGATTGCGCTGGGCAACGCTGAAGTTATCAACCATGAATGTGCACCAGCCAGCGTAGGAAGTAAGGAGCTCCTCTCACGATGCAACGGAGGCGGATTCATGCAAAGTGGCACTTCCTTATCAATGCTCTTCACACGCTTGAAGCACTTGGTAGGCCGCCATGCTGGAGGCACAGCGCCTTCGTGCCCTTCGGAATGTAATCGAGGACTGCCTTCTGTGTGCGGTTTCAACTGCAAGGGTATATGGCGTTCTGCAGCCGTGCTCTTGCGAATTGTAGAGGAGGATGACACAGCCTGTGCGGCTTTACCATTCCTGCTGTGTGCCACGTGCCCAGATGGTCAGCACAGCTGCGATGCGTGTGGTTGCTTGCGCGCCGGATTCTGAGGCCGGAACAGTTGTCACCAGCACAGATCACCGCACGCTCCTAGTCATGGAGCACATACCAGGCTGATTGTTGGCTGCAGATGGGGTGTCAGACTCGCTGGTCAACAAAGCCAGGAGCACCTTTGCAACAGGCCCTGGAGGCAGAGTGAAACAAGATGTTTTTTAAAGCCTGATTTGGTGTCACCGTATGCAAGTTTGCCTCGTCGTTTGTGCAGGCCGGGCAGCTGTGCGCTGGCAGGATGCACCCACTGGCACAGGCAGCATCACAGAATTGGCTCAGAAAGCGTAGTGATAGCATAGACTAATAGAGAGTGCTTCGACTCGGACATTGCTAGCAAGAGGGCAAAGGCGAACTTTTGAGTTATCCAGGATTGCAGCGAGCGGTGCAAAAGTAGTGCATTTGATGGCAAGGCATTCAGAGTTGCTGGACAAATGCCGGCTCCTCTGCAAGTTTGCTGTGCTATTCGGTGAAGCAAAAGGCAGCAAGCGTAGAGTGTTAGGCTCAGCCAGATTTCGGCTGCTATGTTCCACGTGAGCAAGTGCTTCTTTCATCGGGATGCCAACCCTCACAACATCATGGTTCAGGCCACTGCGAAGGTCCGTTTGCGTTGATGCGGGGATTGTAGTGCTCTCGTGCTTGGTGAGGTCATGACAGGGAAGTTCAGGTTTGGCTTGATTGACTTCGGCCTGGCCTGGGGCTTTTTGCCAGAGTGTAAAGCTTTGTCTGTTCAAACCCGCTCAAGCTTTATCGAAGATTGCAATTACCTTGTCAGCAGAGGCTGTGGATTCTGCACAGTGGAGTGCCGGCGGCTGGCGCACTGCAGGGGCTGCGGGTGATGCTTAGCTTGCAGTGCTAGTAGCTGTCCTTGTTATATGTTGTAAACACATGGACGAAGGCAACTTAGGACGGACGATTTTGGACAGAATCCTCCTGGTTGCTCTTCTCGCACGGTTCAGAGGCCCTTGCAATTGCCGAGGCCGGCAGTTTTTTGCTGCAGCCCATTGGGCAGAGCCCTGCAAACTACATGTGTGTCAGGATTTGCAGTCAGAGTACGCTTGCATGATCGATCTTCATTCTGCCGGCATCGGCCCCAAGCATTACTGTGGTCTACAAATGATCTAAAACACAGCCCTGCTGTATAACCAGGCCTGAGCGTTTTGCAAACGCTACTCGTCCTCGCATTCGGAGAGGCGTTCAGTTCACATTTACATCTCAGCTGAGTTTCAAGTCTTGCAAGCGAATTCGTCATCAGGAGGGTTCCCTGGTGGCAACGATGTGGAAGGAAGAGGCAGGCCGCTGCATGTCCAGGTTCGATCTTTCGCCTGCATGAGCTTCATGCCAGGCTGAAGTCTTTCTTGCCTTGGAGTCGCTAGTAAATGTGTGGAAGTCTCCTCAGCGCCGATGATTATGCTGATTACGCATGAAAGTGCAAGCCAAAACCCAACTGGGCTGCCGAGGAAACAGTATTGGCGATATGCTTCCGACAAGTGGCAGGAAGTGCTAGATGCCTTCAACCAAGTCCCATCCCGAGATGTCTCTGATGTCACCTTGTTGGAATCCAAAACTTGCGCAATCTTCAGTCCAGGATGCTCGGGCCGATGTGAAGTCAAAGCTTGCCCAGGACCTGGAGAATCCGGCGCTTTGTAACAAGAGAGGGTGCTTCCGTGCGGCAGCTTTTGCACTAGCTGCTAGCTTTCAGCTCATGGTAGGTGGGTCCACTGCTGTCAACACCACAAGAAAAAGTGTCCAGTGTTTTGGCCACCCGAAGATGGTATGTCGTCCTTCGACAAAAGACGACCGCAGATATATACCCAAGAGGAGAGAGAGACAAATCCACCGCAGCGTCCTTCCAACCACTGGCAGCTTTCGTGGAAGGGTCGGACACCTCTCCTACATCCCTGTACCCCGGGCATCTTTGCATGTCCTTCTCTCTGGAGCTTGAACCCATGACTGTTGGGTGTTGGGAGCTCAAAGCTATTTAGATCTATTGAAGTTACAAGACACATGAACACTTTTTGTTGAAATGCGTTGTTGTTGGGGGTGCCGTCTCAAAAGCGCATTCAAATTTGAGGCCACATGCATGGGAAGCGTAAGTGACGGTCGTAGAAATTGAGGACCGGCGGCACCAGCCTCCAACCGGAAGGCATATCCACCCCCACCCCTTGTGGCAGCACGGCTCGCCCGCTGCTTGCAAGCGTCGGTGCTTGGAATGCTACATGGGTTGGAAGCTTGGATGAGCGAAAGCACGCGTCATGCGCTCTCCCGCAACTGAAAAGAACCCAGAATAAGCCAGAGGTTATTATCTTATTTGCTCCCCAGCCCTTTAGCCTTTCGCAGAGACTCAGCCTTGAGCTTGAGATGCCACAAGATGGTGGTTGCTAAGGGCACAGAATCATGTTTGGATGGGTTTCCCACAACGTTGAATCACTTGGACGTGCTCTGCTCTTCAGGGAGGGTTTGGCTTCCTAGAACAAATCCGGTGTTCATTGCTCCTCGAGGTTTGGATTTGCTTTTCATGGAACATTAGCGTGCGGTTCCGGTTCAGGAACGGTCCATGTTTCCGGGCATGTCGCAGTAGAATTACCAATATTTTGTTCTGCCTTGGCTAGCTAGCAAGCTCATCCCGACGCTGGTGACCGCCAGCGACGAAACCTTGACTTCAGGCTTTGGAGCCGACAAGTCCTCCCCTCGTGTTCCAAAGTTGCCGACCGTCGCAGAGATAGGGAAAGAGCTGGTCAAAGTCGCAATACTTACTACAGTCGCCATCGGCTCCTGGACTGTTGCATTCCTCGTGCTCCAAAAGCATGATGGGGTGTGATGTCCTAATGCCGTCTTCAACAAAATCTGCATTTTTGTGTTCCCATTCGGCTTCAGCGTTTCTCAGCGGGTCCAAGCTCTTCAAGTTGCTGTGCCCCCAGACGCTTACAGCCTTGCAAGGGAAGGCATCGACCAATGTCAAACTTGGCACCAACCGCAGCAGTTGGCTTCAGGTGTGGAGCATTTTACTGAAGGAGGAACCATTGCGTGCATTTCTATACACGCACACACACACTAGAGTTGAGGAACTGGCTTCATTTATGTAAGACAGCAGAAGAGTGGCTTGTTCGGCGTTTTTCCTGTAAAGCCGGCGCTCACCTGAAAATCATTCAGTAGATACGACCATGTTATATGAGTCATCACGTTCCAAGATTGCGAGCAAGATCACAACATTTTAGGCAAGTTATTATAAGAATGCAGATCAAACATTACGGCAACGAGATGTGGACCACGGTTCACAACAGTCAAAAAACAGTAGTTGAACGAGATGTGGACCACGGCTCACAACGGTCAATCAGCCAGACAATGAATGACAAAGTAGTCGCCCATGTGGAATCGTGCAATGAAGTACATGAAATTTCAGGGCTTCGGGGTCGTGGATCTTCTCGTGCTTTGTTTTTAGAAGCTGCACAGAGGTGGTTCATGCCTACCTTCTTGCATCTGGAAAATGCTCTCAGCAGACCAACTTGGGTTTGGTCCGGCTCTAGAAATTCTAGAGCCTCATTCGTTTGCGGAGGTGCTAGAGGATGGTTCAAGAGTCATGTCTGGCATCCAGCGTGCAGGAGCTGGCCCACAGCGTCTTTGGTGCGTACTTCCACCGTCTCAGAGCCGCTCTAGAGCAGGCAGAGATGCTTCTCGCAAAGCGGCAAGCAAAGTGCAGCGGTACGATGTGTAGAGATGGAGGTGCTCGCCTCGCTTAAGAGCTTCTGTGCAAATCCAGGCTCGCTTTAGCCCATTGTTCTGTGGGTTGTGCGGCTGCGTGTTGGCTTGTTTCTTTCGGCTTTGGCGGCTCTGGCAGGTGGTAGTTGTCAACTTGGCAGCGCCGACCTGGCCTTGAGGGTGATTGAGGCTGTGAGCGGAGATTGCTTTGCCCGGAGTGTTGCGTTAATGTTGAGCTCTACGCTTTGCCAGGCGCTGCTCCTGATGATTAGCGCTGGCAGGCATGGCATAGCAGCGGAGACGATGTCTCAAACTCACCAGCCATGTCGTATAGTCCCCAGGCCTCGGAGAGGCCGTGCTGGCTGGAAAGAGGTGCTCTTCAACAGTTCGTTATCGTCGCTGTCGAAGACTCACGCGCTGCAAGACGAGGTGAAGGAGCTTTTTGCCGAGGTATAGGGAGCGCAGCTCAGATGCAAGCTCAATTCAGCCGCACGCCATGACGACCTCACTGAGGCAGAGCTGATCGGGATTCGCAGCGATCCTCGTTTGAATGAAGTGCGCAGACAAGCTTTTCTTTCTTGAAAGCTTGGGTTGTGAGCAGTCCTCATGTCTGGGAGGCATCGCGCGTGGCAGAGTTGGACATGACCTGCATGTGAAGCCTCCCTGACATTGGCAGCGCAGTATCACGTGGCACAGGGCTCGAAGGGCCGCATTGCCATCCGTTCCGAGTGTGGCTACCCAAAAGCTGCTGTGGACTCTCTGAGTGGAGCTCGTATCAACACCACCACACCTTAATCTATCTGAATCGATGCGTGATATGAAGGTTCTTGCTGTCCCGCAGCACGCTGTTACAGTTTGTCTAGAAGGCTTCACAAGCCGCCAAAAGTTTCGCGAGGAAACTCTGTTCCACGCTGAATGTCCTCCTAGCTGAGGACGGTTTCTCGTTTCTGGCTGCATGCCTGGATCTTTGGGGTTCTTCTAGTCCACAGGGGAGCTGGTTGAAGCCGCTCATGTCAAAGCTCTCGGCGTGCAGTGCATGGCCTCTTGAGCCATTGTTGACTCCCATTTTGTGCCGTTTGCCTGGTTTTGAAGTGCCTCCAAGTTTGTACAGCAGGATGGAGGTTGGCATGCTGGCCTTACCGGCACTAGCGAAGACATGCAGTGGCAATGCTGTGGCACCACCTTGATTTTCAAGCATCGTTTCAAGAGAAGCCGCAAGCTTGAATCAGCACGCCATGGCAAATGATTGTTCTTTGTCTGCTTTTGTCTGTTTGAGTTTGGTGTTCAAGCAGCTCCAAGCACAGCTTGCGTCAGGTCACCAACGACACCTCCAGCGTTCAGTCCACATTTGAGAGTCAGCCAAGAGCCAGCGCAGCTGATTGTCCCAGTGGTGCTGCTGTGCAGGAACCTGAGCAAATCCTGCTTATGTTCATCAGCCTCATTGCCTCATTGCATGTCCTTGGTGTCACTGGTGCTTGACCCGAGGGAGCAGGTTCAGCAAGAATCTGTCTTCGAGAGCAAGCCTCAGCAAAGCAAGGACATGCTGGCAGAAGTTACAAGCTTCGCTTCTCTGATGATGATCTTGCTGCTCATCGTGATGTAGTGCGTCAGCATGCCAGCATCCTGCATGCTTGTCTGCGCGTGACTTTAGCAAACCTCGTGTAGCTGCAGCCGGCTGTCGGAGTGACAAGACCCCTTTCTAGCTGCCCTGGCCTCAGTCATGATCCAGCTCACCCGAATGCAAAGCCGACAAAAAGTCGATGGGGTTTTGATCACACGGCCAAGCTACAGGACATGGAGACAAGGCTTCACGTGCAGGCTGCACCCGCGGTGCGCCGCCAAAGGCCAGCACATGGCCAGCCGAAGACGTGTGATTTTTCGGCAAGAATCGGCAGGTTTGCACGACTCGGAGAACACCGCGTCGCACCTCACTGGCAACGCAGCTAAGGAGGAGTTCAATGAAAAGGGGTGCCAGTTCCAAGGTTCTGTCGCTCATGGCCTCCGTTGTGGCTCTGATGCTCACGGGTTACAGGCAGCGGCCGCGCGTCTTTGCACTGCTTTGCAGCTGTCAGAGCTTTCAGGTTGCCAGAGGCAAGTGCAGCGCAGCCTGCCCGTTTTGCCTTGCGAGTCTGCGAAAAGTGTGTTGCTGCCTCAGCCCCATGCATTCGCACTCTCTGCTCCGGGATCAAGTCCTCACACTAGTCTTGGAGGTCAGTCGAAAGGCGGGCAGCGGCTACAACCCAAAGTTTGTTCTAGAGCAGACCGCGAAAGCCGCAGCTGCAGCCCATACCTCAGGGTTGCTACGGTAGACATTTTGCACTGGCTTTGCCAGTATCTTTGAGGCAGGCTGGCCTGCCCCCGGAATAGAATGGGGGAAATGCGGGGTACCCGGCGTCTGCCTGCTGACTGACACATCTCTGCAGAGATCTCACAGCAGGCACTGGCGGATGTGATTATGGACCGAACGTGCGGCTTGTGAAGGGGAAGTACGTCAGGGTCTTGATGTAAGTCACTGGAAGCTTTGCGACTGTGCGGCATACGTGCTATTGGAGTGCTGTGGCAATTGAGGCCATCCCTGTAGTTGCCCGAAACTGAGATGGTCACTATAATATATAATATAACTATGACTGAATTACGTAACATATCCGGAGATTCGGAGCAAAGCGGCAGGTCGAAGGAATGACAGAAGATGAGGAAGACTTCAAGGCTCAGATCTTGAGATTCTGGCAGCACGTGGCAAGATTCTTCAAAACTGCTCCACAGGCATTTCTGTCCATTCAGGGCGAGCAGGACGCTGAGAGGGCCTTTGGCCTCGCAAGCCGCCACATCGCTTCTGCAGCGCCGGGCTCGGAAACTCTCCGGGAACCCCTCCAGAAACCAAAAACTCTCAACGGAGACCCTCAACCAGGAATTTCCCGGAACCACCACCCCCCCCCCGTAGACTGATTGAAGCTAAGGGTGCGGGGCATGCATAGTTGTGTGGATGTAAACACTTTCTAGTGGTCGAAGGGGGCAGGAGTGACTGTTTGTCAGGAAAACTGCTATAGCGCTGCGTCATCCAACACCACTCTGAACACCTGTCGAGTTTATGTAAGGGTTTAGCGTCCACACTGTTTTGTTCTCATGCCCTGATTTCACAAAAGGCCTGAGTGTTTTTTTAACAGGAGCACTGCTGAGCAGCTACATTCATTTCTCTCGAAGGGCTCTCGTATTTGTCGTGATTCCAGTGAAGTGCCGCCTTGTCCTGTCTTAAACTCAGGCGCAGGATGGTGCAGCAGAGGAGCCCACGCCGGAGATACCAGTCTAAAGGCTGGACTTGAGAACGCATGCAAGCCATCTACAAATTCCATTGCCAAAGGCCACAGCCGGCTGAGCCGCGACCTTCTGGATGGCCCTAGGTATCACAGAAAAAGGTTTTCAGGCAGGCGCGTGCCTCCTTTTTGCAGGGAAGATGCTTGCGCAACTGCAAGTCTGTTCGCAGCGGCGAGTGCGGTGAGAGGCTGCACCTGGCTGCCGAGTAGTCTCGCAAACACATCGTGTGTACATATCAAGCTTTCACTTTTCCAGCAGCAGCAGAATTTGAAGTGCTTGCATTGCTGTTTGCAAGCAGCGCAGCTCAGGAACTACTTCCCCAGAGTCTGCCTGACTTGAAAAATGGCTCCAAACATACTTGCACAAGCAAGAGCTGAAGCAAACGTGCTCCATATACACACGGCACAGATAGCTACTTAAACTCCTGTTCTCCGCCGTAAATGGCCAGGCGGATACGAACTACGGATCTAAATCTGCAGGGGCAGAGGTGGGTTGTCTGGCAGCAGGCTCGACTTCAACACTTCAAGACAGAAGCTCCGACAGGCAGAGCAGTCCGTTTTCGAATCACAGCCGAAAAGGAGCGCTGCGGAGGTGCTGGGTACGTGACTGGCTACCACGTGAAAAAATTGCAGAGCCTTCGCATACCGTCAGGTGAGCCATGGCGAGGCTGCTAAGCCGGCGGACTCCGCACAGTCAACCTTCGAAAGCCAGCCCCAGCAGTCGCTGAGCTTAGACGAAGCTGCGCGAAGAGAGTGGCATAAAGTGGCTGCTGGTTTTGCTCCAGGTCCAAGGCACACACATCCTATGGGGCTTCTGCTGCTAGCGCATCCGAACCGTGGGGAGCTGAATCTCATTCCATGCACGTGCACTGGTGCAGTGTAGTTTGGGGCATCAGGTCCGCCTTCGAGAGCCAGCCGCAGCAATCCAAGGCCATCGGTTCTGCAAAGTTGTCGTGAAAAGAGAGCAGCCCTGGCGAGGCCGCTGTGGGATATGGGCGAAATGACGCACCAAATGCTGGGGAGGCCCGTAGGTATATGGTAGAGGTGTTGGTCTCACACTGCCTGCAGACTGGGAAAGCATGAGGTCCAATCGGTTTTTGAGAGCCAGCCGCAGAAGAGCAAAGCAATGGTGACAGCCGCGGACAAGGTGGGCGATGGGACAAGAAGGCTCACAGAGTTGCAGAATATCACGCTTGCCAAGGCAGCCGCTGCCGGAGACGGCCAATCTGTCTTTGAGAGTAAGCCTGCGGAAAGGCAACTCAGCAATTGATGGCTGAACCGTTGACTGCATTGTTGTTTCAGCATTGTCAACCTGCTGCCTGGCCAGTAAAGCAGAAACTTCCTATTCCAAAGCCGCTTCTGCTGCGGACCAAGCACAGTCGGCCGGCGACACAGCACGGCTTTGCAATGCATGTTGCTGGTGCCCTTATTGCTCTTGCTTTTTCAGGTTTTCGAGAGTCAGCCCAAGCAGTCCGCTGCTGAAGCTGGAAGCTTAGCAAGCGTGGCGGCATTGAGATCAGGTGGCAGACAGCTACTGCAGCTACTGCATACCTGTGTGAGCACGTGCATCTGCAAGGTCAGCCACAATGACAAGACCTTCGCACAGGGGTCAGACAAGTCCGTCTTTGAAAGTGAGCCACAGCAAAGCAAGGCGGAAGCGCAGTTTCTTGAGGAGCGTGCTGTGTGGGCGACTAGTGCTCCGGCAGGCTGAAATAGGCTATGGCCGGAATGCCGCTGCCTCCGGTCAGGATTTTCATGGGGAAGATACTTGCGAGGAGCCCTCCATTTGTTGCTTGGTTGCTGCTTGCCTTCGAAGGAGCAGTCGGTCTTCGAGAGCAAGCCTGCTGAGAGCAAGGCAGCAAGCATCTGCATTGTAGATCAAAACAAAAACGTTGACCTGCAGGCGAATTACAAGGCTGGTGCTAATGCGGAGGACGAGGAGTCTGAATACGAAACCGATGAAGAAGGCCAAAGTTTCAGCAACTTCAGATTGCTCTTCTGAGCCCTGCTGCTACAGGTTGAGAAGCTCGGAAAGAAGTGGCTCGGCCCATTCTAAAGCTTACATGAGCGCTGCCGAAATGCCTGCACAGAGCCGGCAGGTGGGGCTCCCGTGAGGGCACAGCTCCGCGATCCGCTCCCTCGCCTCATGGCATTGCTGGAGCGGGAAGAGAAGTGATACATAGCTTAGCTAGCTTAGCTGACCTAACTGCACAACCACAAAACCTTCATGTGGTTTTCTACGATTGGCTTCGCATTCAGCACAACTCGATGGCCAGCCCAGATGAGAAGCCGGTTCAGAGCTTGGGCTTGGCCCTGATGTCAGGGGGCTGCGCAGGGGACAACATCAATAACACGGTTCTATGTCCACAAATATGGTATACATTTCTATACATATGTCAGTGATCTCGACCTGAGCACCATGTAGGTTAGGCCCCCTTCTGCAAACTTAGTCTCCTGTTGATCACTCAGTTTAATGCTGTCCTCTTATGTCCCACAGAGGTGTGGGAACTTGAGGAATCGTAATTTGGCAAGCTCTTTCACTCCTGACTCGATTGAACTCAAGCCTCTAGACGGGAGCTTGCAAAGGACAGAGAAACTTGTTGTTTGTACCATGCTCGCTTCAGCTTGTCAATTGCCAAGCTCCTGTCAGCAGGCTTAGCCAAAGACATAGAGCACACAGCGGCTACCTTCGGGATAAAAACCCTGCAGGGCAGTGACTGGTCTCCTGGGCTTTCTGGCTTTCCATCTTGTTTCTTGGTAAATCGGTGCCGTCACCCGTGTGCGTGGGGTCTTGGGGCACGCGTTCACTTCATCATTTGTTTGCGGGCTCGTGGGTTCGGAAACTATGTTAGCAAGCATGGGCTCAGAAATGGAGATCTTTTCTGAGTGGGCAGGTGATGGCAACTGCTCCGCTCTGCGACAGTTTGCTGGTCATTTCACAACATGCGTCGTCCAAACACTCTGCATCACTTCTTCAGTGCCATGCCATGACAGGGAAGTCAAACGTGGTGAAGCCATCCTGTACAGCACATTCGTGGGACTTCGAGTCTGAGTACATGGTATGTCAGTGGATGGCGGCACGCAGAATCACGGATTGTTCCGAAAGGATGTCGGAATACGCAGGATGTGTGGGCCGTGTAGTGCGGCATAAGTAAAGGGATTGGGCTTGAAGCGAGAGTCATTACCATTCGAGGTCCCGGTATGTTTTGGTTGAAGCTGTCCCTCATTTTGGATGCATTCTCGCACATCTTAATGTGATTCGCCAGCAGCGGTGGCAGCCGCTTCACAACAAACTGCAAGTCTGAACATGCAAGTTCTTTCCAATATGCTTTCCGGACTCGACAAGAAACAACAAAATGCCCATCGCCGGAGAGTTGAAGCACTTGTGGTTGACATACAAGCGCGTGATTGACCCAAACCGCAGACGAGGCCGCATCTACAATATTCTATGTCACTCACCCTCGCACGATTCCGCAGCAGGTCCCGCATTATGTCTCGCCGTCCGGCACATCCCGAAACTGCGCAAAGCCCAAATCTAAACGAACTCAGAGCAGGCCAACCGTGTACTTGCAAAATCCCTCTTGGGCTCAAGTTTCAACAGGCCCGCTCTAAGCCCCGGGAACGATTGAGACACATTGTGCTGATGCCACAACACAACACAATCCCTCCTTTCCCTCCCCCTCCTCCCTCCCCCCCCTCCTCGCCGCGCCCGGATAGCTGGTTAACCCGTCAAGCCCCTGGAGATTAAATTCACAAAAGAATTAATTTGTGGTGGGCATGGAAGGAAGGCTTAGGTAGCCTCTGATTTACCGAGAATGGAAGGAAGTTTATTAAGGTTTAAGGCTGAAGTTTCGGGTTTGCCTTTGAATACGGCCAGGACTCGGTTTTCACTATTCAAGCCTTGCGTGACCTTCCAACAGTAAGTATTGCAACTGAGCCTTTTGGGATCAAGGTTTTAGGTGCCTGTGGGATGCAAGGATGGCATCGCAGGCGCGGAAGCTCTGTTGATTGCACCAATGCAAACAGGTTTCCAACAACAGTGAAGAGTTGCTGTCAAGTTACATGCTGATTGGAGTCTGGAAATTCTAGGCAGACTGTCCAGGCCCGCCTGAGGAAGGGCAAGGGCCCGAAGAGCCCTCCAGAAATCGATGTCGACCTACCGGCCCGGAGCCCAGGCTCCCAGGCTCACTGCACACGCTAGTCTGCCCATACCCTTTCCCAACAGGGGAAGCTTCTGCCTCCACAGGAATCCGCAGCCGTTGCGCGGATCGCTGCTGGGCTGCCAACCCCCAGGCGCAGCGCATCTGTGTTTCCGGACGTTGCGACAAACCCCAAGCGACAGCATTGGCAGGTCGACATTGGGATCGCCATTGATATCTCATGCTACGTACAAGAGGCCAAACAATACGTGGGCCAGTTGTCTCGACAGCCACTCTAGATGTGATTCTTCAAGCATTGATCCAGCCAGCTAAGACAAGCGCAAAGCCATCAGGAGGCATTCTTGCCTCGAGATATAGCAGCCTTTGCATTGCCTGACAGGTCGGGTGTGGGTGATCTCGCCGCTGGTCCAAGGAGACATATTTCTTTATCAGAGGCCCCGCCTTCGATTGCATACCCTGTTCCTGAAATTGTCAGTGCGAGTGCAGGCAAATGCATTGGCACATATTGACACGTTTCAGGTAGAGCTGGTATCATGGATGTGCTGCATGGCTCCTGTTTTCATGCTGTTTTCGACATATCTTTCTGCCGGGCACCTAGCACTGGTACACGACAAGATCCGTCGCAAGAATTGCTCACACATGCTTTGAGGTGTTTTTCTCCAGTCTCTTCTGTACCTACCTTGCTGAGCTGATCTGCGCATATCTCACTCTGCTGGCATCGCTCTGGATCGGCAACATGTCGCTCGCCTGCCTGCTGGGAATCTACCGCCTTCGGGAGGCACGCCATTTGCAAAGCTCAGTCCTGCATCAAACTGACGCAAACTTTGCTGTTGAAAGGCTGGTTCCATTGACTGGCATGCACGCCTTCACGAGATCCCTGAGGAGGCTTGCCTAGCAGCCTAGCAGCAACTCAAACAAGGCAGCCTGTAGACCAAGCAGCAAGCGCAGCTTACTCCGGCAGAGCTTTATGTTCTGCCGCGCAGGAGAAGAGTGGCATCAAGCATATCATTCTGCTGCCAAACTATATGGAAAGCGAAAAGATGCTGAAGGAGTCAACTCGAAGCATGCATTTGTTGGAGTCTGTGGCAGCGTCGACAGCCGGTACTACAAACCTTCATGGCGAAAGGAAACGCTCGACAATCTCGCTCGCTCGAAGCTAGCGAAGAACTGTTTGCATGTAGTGCTGGGCATGGAGGCAGGTGGGCTCTTATTCTCGGTTTGTCTGAGGCTGTCCGTGCTACTAAGTTAGGATGCCATAGTGTCCACATAGCGAAGGGTTGCTTTTCTTGCTGGCTGTAGTTGCTCAAGCAGAATAACATGTTATTAAGACTCAGACCAAACAGCAGAAACACAGCTCGTGCGGTGTTTTTCAGCTTACATGAGATGCCCTGATATCCCTTCGTGACAGGGCCGTGAAGGTCAGCCGGCCCGTGCAAAGGCGGAAAGGATCATTGCAGACAAGGACGGAGACCCCTGTGCATCTACAGTTACAGCTTGCTCACAAAAACACATGCCAGAAGCACCTTTTCGCCGACATCTTTGCGACCTATCACCCACAGGCAGCACTGAGAAATTGGTGGCATATCGTGAGGATTTGTTGATAGAGCAGTCATCGAGAAAGGCTACAAAGGGATTGTGCCCGCCTGCTTTACCTGGCAGACTCGATTTGTCTCAGCGCCAGGGTCTTCCTGGTGAAGTCGCAGGCAAGTCCTCCAACACCCAGTGGGCTTTCCGCGAGGCTCTTTTCGGGTGCGTGTGAAACGTGGGTGATCGTGGGTGCACAGCAAGTGCTGGGTGTGTCACAGGCTCTGCGGAGATATGGGGCGTCCCTTTCGAAGCGTGACCTGCAAAGAGCCAAGCTCTTCCTTGAGCGTACCCAGTTGGTAACCAAGAACCTCTCAGGTCGAAAGTCTGGATTACGGTGGCCGATGCTGACACGCTGTGCCTCCCTTGTTTCACTAGGTCCTGAGTGTTTTGCAGCTTGTGGAAAGCATTCATGTTGCAAATGGATTAGATGCGACAGCTGAGGCTGCATCCACATTACCTCAGCGCAATGACATACCAAGGACGGCGAACACTGTTGCACTGACACTTGGGAGACGCTTGACTGATGGGAGGCCTCAAGATGGATAAGGAGGAACGCTCCTGGACCATTTGGCAGCCACCGGTCATGCTCGTCAGTCCGGCTCGTCCATGCGTTTTCCAGGGCTTGCTGCGGTAGCCATCATGTCTACTTGCCAGTTGCGGAATTTGTTTAACGTTCCGGCCGTGACTCGGGCAACAGCCCACGGGACGCGACTTGATGGCAGTGTTGGAGAGTTGATGTTACGCATTGTCCTAGCACGTTTGGTAAGGAGATGAGAGGAGAGATTTAGTTCCTGCTGACTGCCGATACCGATACCCATTCATGCATGCCGCAACTGAGGCTAATCTTCGAGCTGTCAGCCTTGTCATGGCAGCGCATTTTCCCGGCATTTGCCTACTCCTCGTGGAGCAGCCGTGCTTGCGCGCACCTTGCAAGCAGCTTGATGCTAGCAGCTGGCCAGGTATTCGATGACCTTAGCCTTGGCCTCGCATCCTGAAGTGGATGGCTGGGACGTGGACGTCATCGCCGAGGATAGCCAAGATACGCTGCCCAGCTTGAGTTCTCTTCCTTCGAGGGTGCAGCTTTTGCGTGAGAAAAAGTGCAGCAGACTGCGGGCCTCTGACTGCAGTCTCTGCCCGGCCTTACAAAGGTAGCTTGGAGGTGCAAACCTATTCCAGGAATAGATAGTTTGACAGGATGCAGGTCTTGGGGTTCGTTCACAGATCCAGCAGGCAATGTACGACAGGACCACCACATGTTCTGCAAGTGCTTCTTTGCCGCGCTCTGGGAGCTGTCACATGCCAAGAAGGACGTGGTGTGTTTTCATGAAACTTGCAAGTTGTAGCAGGCGCTATCCGTATGATGCTGATGGAGGAACTTGAGTGACCAATGCCCCGACTTTTTAGCAGAGTCTGAATGTAGGGAGGAGATGTGAGGCGTGAGCAAGATGTCAGTTTTTGGCGTAGTGCATTCACAAGCTCTCTAGCAAAGGAGCTTCAAAACAGTTTGCAGGGCATAGATAAGCCCTGACGTCATACTTATGTTCGTAACTTTGCAGGAGCACGCAAAAGTCACCAATGGCGACGAGGGAAACGCGGTTGAAATTGTCCCTCAGGTCAAGGCCTGCAAGCTGCATTGCGAGCACTTCATGTGGACTATCGGAGCCCACCTAGGTTCAGCCTGTGTTTTTGCCAGCCAGTGCCACAGATGATGGTAAGAGTGACCGATCATAATCTTGATACATAAGCCCGCTGGTTGTCGCCGAGGCCGTTTCCTACTTGGCTGAGTCTTCAGATGGCTACGTGGCCTCTTTGAAGGCGCGCTTCCAACAGGCCTGTGGGTTGAGCGGGACAATTCGATTTCAGCAAAGACAATGTGGCGAGAACCAGTTGCAAACCTGAACCTTGCGAAAACATACATCTAATCGAAGAGGAATGCGCAACATGCTTTCTCCCTGCAGGGCCGAAGGCACATGCAAGGCCTGGTTGAGCTCGGATATGCCGCCTGGCTGGCATTTTGGTCGAGTTTTCAGTTAGCAGATTTTGGGCAGCTGGCCCGCTGTGCCTTGGCACTCTTGGTGGCCTAGCGTGAACCTGGAATCAAAAGCAGAACTGCCTTTTGTCGTCGCTGCAGCTTAGGTCTGCTTGCAGTGGGCGCGCCTCTCCTCCAGTATTGGTGCCAGGAACATCCCCTTGCGAACGCCAGATGACTCAGACACTGGCATGATCTTTCCTTCAGAGTGTGCGTGCGCATGTGTGACTTGCTTGGGCTTTGCGGGTGAGGCATTTCTCCATCGCTTTGATCCTCGTAAAGATGCACACCTTGCAGATCACCTGCACGTGTCAATGCTTTGCGCTCGTGATGATGGCTCTGACAAAGCTCGTGCCCAGGCCTGTGCTAAGCAGGCAAGCACAAGACACATTGGAACAGTTGCCACAGCATCAGCTGTCCTGCAGGGCTGGGAGCCTTTTGGCCTATCTTCTCCAAGTCGGGTTTGACCAGATGCGCCAGGAGCGTTACTGCTTGTGCTAGCATCCCTGGCACCAGGGCGGTGGCTCTGTGGTATACTTGGTATAACTTTCGCGGACCCACTGCTCGGGACACTTGACTTGCAGGACGTTGGCTCGATGCTGGCCTCCATGAACGGCGCTGAAAAGGCTCTCTGCAACATGTGAGGGTGGAGAGGGTATGAGAGGGTGTAGGATGCTTTCACATCATTTCTAGAAAGACTCTGACAAGATCGAGCCGAGGCTCTGGCTGCGGGGATCAGCCAGATCTCTGGCGTTATGGTGCTGTACACTATTGCTGGCGCAGTGGTACGTCTCCCAGCTCCTCTCACTCTTGACTAAAGCTGGCTTTGGTAGCTTGCTTCGTACCAAGGTCATTTCAGACATGGTGGAGGGGCGCTACTACCAGAATGTTCCACGTGCGCATCCAAATGGTTTCGTGTGGCAATGTTGAGCGTGCACAAGTGAAGCCCAGTGTCGCGGCTGCTGGAACCTCCCTGAGGCACAGCTGCTGCCGCGGACTCCCCTGAGCACGAGGTCAGACTCACAAGTGCAGCAGTACGTGGCGTGTGCTACGTGCTTCTACGTTGTTGTGAGTTGATAATGCATGTGGTGCAGGATGCGCAGGATGCGCAGGATGCGCAGGAGCATGGGCCTTGGTGGCGCCCCCCCCCCTCCCCCTCCCAACAGTTCTTAGTTTGTATAAGTCCGCCGAGGTCTGCACCAAATTCAGCATCTCGCTTGGAGATGCCTGGACTCAGAGAAGGCATCGCTAGAGCTCGCACACGGAAGCTCACACGAAGTAGTGACTAAGATTCCAAGTGTTGGGGTGTTTCGCTCCGGTCAGCAGGTGCACGATCCTGGCTTTGCCGGCTTGCACTCTTCGGCTTCGTCTTTGCGGATAACACCCTATCAGGCCGAGACCAGCAACACTTGCTCTAGGTTCTTGATCTGAATCACACTTGTCCTGAGGATATCCTGCCATCATTCTTTTTGGTGTCATTCCGGTGTTGATGGCAGGCCTTCATTGCTATAGAGTCTAGAGTGGATGATGGTCCCGCCCCCATGTGCACCATGTGCACCGCATGCGCAGGATGGTCCTTGCTGCGCCGCGGTACTGACTTCGAGTACATTGCCAAGGGCTCATCATCTTCTCTTGGCCGATGTCTCCAAAAGCTCCGTAAACTTGGCAACAAGGTTGCTATGAAGCCAGAGTGAGTGAGCTGAGTAGTGGGCGTTTGGCCTGCGCTCGGACTGGCATCTGGCTAGAGTGCTGCCACCTGGACCATGCCAACGCGGCAGGAGTCTGGTAAGGCTTATGCCACGGCTGAGAAGCGTGCCACCTGTGCGCGTTTCAAAGAAGACTTGGAACTTGCAGCACCTTCGAAGCCCTGGGGACTGCAGTCATCGCGTCCTGAAGATGGGATGCTGTGCTACGTCTCAGCAGTACACATGTAGCAATCATGTGCCGTTTTGGCCAGAAATTCAATGTCCAGCCAAAGACCTGGAGCAGACCTGCTTGGTCCATATCTCGGTTGCGCTTCACGCAAACTTACATTGTAGAGAGCTCAGAAATTTTCACGGACCAAGCAAGTCTTCGTCAGACAGCATCAGACATGAAACTCGGCGATCACGCTGCTTTTGCGAAACGGCTGCTTCAGCCTGTCATCGATGAATGCAGGCTCCGCACAGGAGAAACTGCCTAGGCGGATGACTTTTTTGTATTTCCTTCCTCAGAGGAAGTCTGTGCCGCAAACGATCATCCCGGAATTCGGTCAAAATTTGCCGAACCTCATAGGGTGCGCACAGTTAAAGTGCACTTTCCTGGATCTTGGCTTTTTTGGACCATTGCCAAGACAATGGCGGCAGCCAAGTAGACTGCGAGTTGTTATCTATCATTGACCCACAGTTTAAGATCATAATGGCATATTAACTCTTGACACCACTAGGTGCAGGCTTGGTTGACTCTTGCAGCAATCCAGGATCGACGAACTACGAACTACATAGTTTCACCTGCTTGCAGAAACGCTGTGACACGCAGCTGCGTTAATCAAAACGAAGGTAAGATTGCTGTTGTATGAAGAAGCAGAGAGGGAGAGCTACCGCCCGCCCGCAGTGACCTGCAATGATCTGCTTCGCAGTTTTCAGCCGGGGCTTTTTTCCTCGCTCGGCCCGCCCCGCAGTCGGTGGATTGATTGCCCGTGGATCCGGCGGCAGGCTCGGAAATTGGATTGCTTCAGCGACAGCCGTGCGCAACGTCTGGCTGCCGTTCGCGAACTCAAACACTGTTCCGCCAGAATACTGGTTGTCATGCTTTGATTCCATCGATGCCCGTGTGTTGCCCAAGGGTTCCAATCAGCCTGGCCTAACCTCTACTAGCGTCCCCCTCAACCCACTTGCCGTGCTGCTGGACAACAATAGGACTGGCGGGAGGTAGGGCTATCGCTGGAGGGATACTGATGTGATTCAATGCTTCTGTTGGTGATCTACTAGAAGCTGTTCAAGCATGATACCCATGTTACTAGTATCAGTCAGTATAAGTATTGGTTTTAATGAGCTAGCCATAACTCTGGATCCGAGGCAGTATAGGCAGCACTGAGAAAAGGCAGGCAATTTGGGCACGGTGCAGAAATGACGAGTGCATTTGCGACAGGCTGTGGTAAGCAAGATGGAGATCCGTGTTGACGCCGCGGAGGGGTGTCGGGCCTGGATTAAAGAATATGTTTACTATACTCGTACACAGGATCGTTGGAAAAAGACCGGCCTGCAAAAATCCTTCCTACTTTTCGGGAACCTTGCCGAGGAATGCTGCCCCAAAGGAGACGTTTGTGTCAATGCGAATTGGGGATTTCCAGAAGCAGTCCCGTCCGCTACTCAGAGGAGGCTCACACTTCAAGGGAGGCCTTCACAGCAAAAGCCCGGAATGACTGATCTCATCGCATCAGAGCCCAGGATTCGGTGCTGCCAAAACATACAAGTTTCCAAAGATGGAGGATCCAAATGGCTTTGCCCGCATCGAGGCAGAAAACAGAGCCGGGATGCTGCGCACATCTGAGCACTCTGCACTCTGCGAGAGGTGTTCCAGCGAGTCGGGCACCTGACCGTCAGCTTGGGCAAGCTTCACCAAAGTGATCAGAGCGTGGAGGCCAGCATTCAGCCGCAACAGTCTGCAGATGTCTGCATCCCAAATTTGTTGGCAGGTTCCAGTGGAGATGCCGGGAATGTCTCATCTTCCCATGAGGCCCAATACGCATGCGCCAAGCATTTGCAAGCATCAGCCGGTTAAGCCTTCCTCACGCAAGGCTTGGGCTCCAGGGAGCCAGTCCAGCATCGGACCCAGACGTCCTCCTACCCCAGAACTTCAGCTCCCACATGTGCACAGACAGGAGGCCAACCCAGAGCCCAAGGCTAAGAACGCCAAGGCCACATGAATTTGTGTTTCAGACTCAGGTCTTACAATAGGCTTGGTGATAGTTTCAAATCCGTCGAAGTCTTAGTGTGGAAAGCCGAAAGGTGCTTCATTTAATGGTTTCCAAAGTGGAAACAGGGCTGTGATGCCAGCAGGATCCAGCAGGCACCTAGAGGTTTCTGGGAGTGGTGTTCTCCGGCCTCCGGGAGTGTATGAGCTGTCTTGCGGAAGCTGCAATGCGAGTATACAAGAGGAGAAACGTACTGTCATAAGCACACATGGCGATGAAATAGTATAACAACCTAGAACACGCCAGAAGAATGCTATGATTTTAGAGTTCGAGGGTGATGCTTCGGAAAACGTTGCTTCGATAGGACAGTCAAGATGCTTGTGGGATGAAGCAGACTCGAAGATGAGGAATGAGCAAAAGAAGCTGCAGCAGAATAAGAGTCCCACAAACCTACGCCTTGCACGGACAGTTGTGGTCGAGCCTCAGATCGCATCCTCTGCAGTCACTCTCGTCGTCTCTGACTCTTAGACGTAGTGTGGGGACAAGGTTCAGATTGACAAAGGGAATGCTGGATCCTGTCAGGTGAAGACCAAGCTGGACGCTGCTCAGAAGTGAGCTTTGCCAATGATGCAATCATGGATGGCTGATCATGATCTCTTCGTCGAGCTTCTGTCGGCCTTAAGTCGTCATGTCGGAACAGTATTGTGTCGGTTCAACATGTTTCAACACTCCGTGCTTAGTGCTGAATGTTCGCTGCACAGAGTTGGAAGCTTGCAAGCATTCAGCGAGCGCAACACATGTGAAGTCGCCTGATCATTGCACAACCAGCAAGGGATCAACAAGTATTCTTCCTTGTGGCAGAAAACCGAAGGAAGGCTTAGGTTCACGGAGGATCCCCTGTCTGAATACACTGCATACTGTGGCATGTTGAAGGCTTCCGCCATCCAATCTGAAATTCTTCATGTCATCTGCAGGCAAGGCTCACTTTGTACACCCTGCACATCCTACCATCAGAGCGAGATGACTCCGGGAAATGCATGCCCTGAACTGTTTCCGGATCGTGTTTGAGCAGTCGAAAAGGGATACGTAATCACGACTTCCAAGCCGGCTGAGATGACTTCAGCGCAAAGACTTTCTGCACATGACAATCGCACCACGCCTCTACAGGTACTTGGCTGATCATCACTTGGAGGAAGTCATTGCTGATGCAATGCGCGAGGTTTGTCTCTTAAGCAGTTGCATCCGGAACGGATGCATGAGGGTGCAGCATGGCTTGATTTGCAGCATCCACGCCTGAGGTCATTCACGAAAAGCCCGCGGAGCCACTTACATTCCTGTCGTCCCAAATCCTCAAACATGCCGCATCCTGAGCAAGAGCATGACTCCCATTGGCTTGCACATCAGTTGTGAAGCCGTGGCAGGCGGCCAAGAAGCCAGAGCTGCTGCCGTTGGGCCTTCAAGTTCAGCTGTTTGATGCTGTGTTCACAAAATTCTCACTTGGACATGTATGCTGCCTTGTACTTGGAGCTTGGAGGAAGTTTCTGGTTCAGCTCAACTTCTGAGGCGTATCGATCTGCCGACGGCACCCATCCCGCCAAGCGCGACAGGGCAAGAGTCCCAGCATCATGTGTCTGCATCCAAGCGCCCAAAGTCATTCTTTTCTGCCAGGAATCGCAAAGCAAACCCCTCAGAAAAGCTTCCGCCCATCGGTGGGAAGCCGGAAACAGCCTATGTCCCAGATTCAACCAGATGTACAAAGAAATGGCTCGGTGGCTTCCATGCAGGCTCGTATTGCCTGTGGGTGAACGTTGGGTGAAGCACTAAGGCGGGCGACTTGAACCGTCTGCGATTGGAGGCACCGTGCTGTGCAGCACGGCAGACCTTCACGTTTGAGTTTGCAGTGCGGTCAATCGTCGCATGTTATCGCAAATGTGTGGGCGGCACAGCATTCCTGCCTGTTGGGCTGGAAAGCTGTCATCTAGCACAGACAATTATGCTGTGGTTGGACTTGGGCAATCCACATCTTAGTTGATGTGGGATGACTGTGGACATGCGCATAGTGCCCCGCCACAGCCAGGCACGCGATGCTTTGCTGCAATCCGCCCAGAACGGAAGCTTGGCGGCTGTGCTCTCTGCCAGGGGCCAAGGATTCCTGTAAGATTGAAGCTGATCAGCTGCAGCTACATTTCTTGTTGGTTGTTTTGCTGCAAGGCAGATCAGTCCGTCCTAACCCCGGCAAGTGGACTAGTTCGCTAGGGCTTGTTGTTTTGGTGCTTGCTCGCAGCTGCTTGCAGGCGGCAGAAAACCTTGGAAGCCTGCGCAAAGAGGCTCAAAAGTAAGCTTCTAAGCCTCGAGTGCAGATGCAGCGGCGCAAATCAGGCAGCAGCTGCATTGATCAATGCAGCACGCGACGGAAGCCTGGACGTGGCGCTTCGCGAGACCAGGGCCGGCCAGGATGCCGTCTCAACATGTACTAGCTAGACTAGGTCAATTTGGCCCTAGTATGGAGTGCTTATGAGTGCTCCATCTGCCCTTGCCAGGAAGGAGATGAACTTGAGGAGCTTCGACAGCAGGTGCGTGCAACAGAAGATGTCAGACTGCGCCAATGAAACCCCAACTGGACTGCAGGCAAGGGCTACCCTGCTACAGGGCGCGCGTGATGGATCGTTGAAGGCTGCATTGCAAAGCACGAAAGAGGAGGCACTGGTCTGACAGCTCGCCACGCGCGCACAGATCACAGCCTGTAAAGGAGAACAACGTGGAGGACCTCAGAGTGCAGGTGCAATGTTTGTGACATGACAAGGGTTTCTTTTTAGATGTTTTCCGTTCAAGCCCTACAGGCGCGGGATGCGCTGTTGCGTGCTTCCATCAACGGCACCTTAGAAAAGGCTTTGAAGGAAGGCAGGCAGAGTGTTTTGCTGTTTTTGGAGAATTTGCTTTGAGTCCACGAACTGAGCAGAAAGTCAAAAGATAATCGTCATGTCTTCGCACAGACAGTATCTTGCAATCAGGCAAGCCCGACAAGAAAGCGCAGGCAGAGTCGTGATACTGGAGAAGCATTTGCATGCCCTACGGACCATTGTTCAGTCAGGCTACCGGGCAAGGGACACTTGAGGATCTGCGCCTTGAGGTGTGCGCCTTTCTTTGTGCGTTCGTGATTTGTTCAGTCGTGTGTGTGGCGGGGGGGCAATGCAGAGACTTGCAGGCTCGAGAAGCCTTCCTGCTTGCTGCGCAAGACGGATCCCTGGAAAAGGCTTTGAACGAAGGCCGGGGGAAGAAGCGCTTTGAAGGAAAGCTCTAATGACTCTAATTTGTCTGAAGGTGTTCCATGTCCCCTTGTGTGATCATTCCTGTGAGGCAAGACTCTTCAGGCGCCATCCTTCAAATACACTCCGCCCGATCCTCACCTGGCAAAGGGCCGTCGTGTGCCCTGCACATGTTGCTACCTTGCACGCTAGCCATTGCCCCAGGTCTGTGGGGTCGTGGTTGCAGAAGAAGCCATATCAGGCCTCGTAGCCTCATGCCATCGCCACTAGTTGCTAGTTTCCTGGTGTTGGCAGGGAGTCTTCCGATTCTGCAGGTTCCGCGGCCATGGTACTACAACGTCCACGGCGAGACTGAAGATGATAAGGCCCAACTGGAAGAGCACGAATGATTCCAAGAAAAGCGACCATTGGAATTTTTGCAGGTGATCAAGGACCTTCAAAGTGTCATCGCAGAGAAGGAGCGTGAAATCGAAAACTTGAAGGCCCGTTGTTCGGCAACGTCCCAGGCGCCTGGATTTCGTAATGGAATTGCACAGGCTACGTTGAAGTCAAGCGGGCTTGACCTTCAAGCTCCAGCAGTCGGGTTCCAAGCTCTGCGTACTCGGTAATAGAGTCGACTCTTCCTTTGATATTGTTTTCCGAAAATGGCAGCGAAGGTGGCCTCGGGCAAGCCCGAGGCAGCACCGGCTGCTGCCGCGAAAGCGGAGCCCGCGCCTGCGCCGGCATCTACGTCCCTGACACCATTCAGGCTCGGAGACCTGCAGCTGATATACGGCCTCTGCTTCGAGACAGTGCCATGCATTCTCGCACTCAGCATGAGCAGTGCTTCGCTTGGAGAGGCCTTACTATGCCGCACATCTCCGCACCGTCAAGCCAGATGCGTTGCAGGCTATGCATGTCCTGATAAGACATTTTTCTGGTGATTTCTGGTGGACCGCATGCCATCTGCACCTATGCCGCAGAAGCTGTACGCAAAGTTCCCGGCCCAGCCGAAGCCCGTGTCAGCGCCGAAAGCACCGGAAAAGCCAGAGCAAGCTGCCAAACCCGCTGAGCTGAAGAGCACTCCCGCCGGAGCCTCAGATCATCACAGACCTCGTGTCAGTTGCACCACTAACCAAAATCCCCAGCAGGCGGCAGCTGCCCCAGTCAAGATGTGCAAAGCTCAGTTATGATCAGGTGCTACTACTTCTGACACATGCAGAGCCGACTGTGTAGGGTTGTCATTACATCACCGCAATGGCTTTCTCAGGTTTGCCAAGTTGCCGTCGGTCGGAACATGGCTAGCACCCAACCCGGCCAAGCTTGCTCAAGCGTGGCTCCCAGCCAACGTGTGCCGACAGCTGAGTTGCACAGAATGCTAGTGCTGCTAGCTGCTGGTGTGCAGGCCTCACCGGCTGTTCAAACCAAAGCTCCTGATATGCAGACTTCAGCCTCTGCCCCGTCCGTTTGCAGCTTGGACGTTTCCCGCCAGTAGGGCCGACAACAGGGGACAGAGCCATGTCCACAAGTCACGGTCTGAGGTTGCACCAGCTCCTCAGAAGCCGGAAGCTTTGTTCTGATAGAAATCTGAGATAGTTAAAGATGTTCCTGTCCACTTAGGTTTGCAAAGATGCCATCTGTGGGGACTTGGCTTGCACCCAACCCGGCCAAGTGGGAGGCCTTTGCATCAAGCAAGCCTCTTGTTTGTCAGTGCCTTGCCGAGAAACTAACGCGTTCCCCCAAACTCCTGTCCTTGCGTTTGCAGGACAAGAAAGAGACAAAAGTTGTGTCAAAGGACCTGCCTCGGCAATTGCAGGGTTGGAAGGATTTCCGCCCCCCATCCCTGCAACAGCATCAGGACTGTAGGCTTGTCAGAGTCGGCCGATGCGTGCTGATGCTGGTAGGAGGCGCCCCAGGTTGTCCAAGCTGCGGAACCTCAGGCACGTAGGGGATGAAGAGCCAAGCCGCGTACATCCGTGTGCTCAAAAAGCCCAGCATTTTGCATGGGACGGATCCGATCGGGTCCGACATGATGAATGCCGCACTCCCATGAGTTGTTGGGAGCTGCAGTGTGCGTCAAGGCCGCTCGCAAGCCTTTTAAACAACTCCCATCCGCGATTGCCTTAGCTGAGCTCAGCTCTGACAATTTGAAGAGTTCTTCCAACGCCTCCAACAATTGCAAAGGTGGGAACTTGGCTGGCATTCAGACCATTCGAAGAGCCAGCAAAGCTTGTCCCAATCTTGGTGCGCCCTGCTCGTCGCGTGTGGTTACACAAAGAGCTAGCTCAGAGCTTTTGCTGTATGCAGGAGAGAACCCACAGCAAGCTGCTGTGCATGAACAAGGAGGCTGGACTCTCCCTCCCGTCGTTGTTGATGTCACATATGCTGCAGTAGGAGCTCATCACGGGCTATGAGAACGAAATCCGAAAGCGGGACGAGGTCCAGACCAGCACCCGTACCGGCGGCACACCTCAAACTCCAACATGTATCCGACATGATGCGAGGAGATCGCGAAGCTGAAGTCCTCGAATAAGGCGTAAGGACTGCCGCACCACAGTTTTTGGCTACTGCGGATACAGGCTCAAAAATTCACGAGTCGCAATTTTGGCTCAGCTGAAGAGTGGTTTGCACCTCAGCATGGCACATAGGCTGTCAGGGAGGATGACCACTGCATATTTCTCGTGACAATGTCAAAGTTCATGGCATCTTTCAGCAACCACGCTGCAAAGAAAACAACAGCTGAATGATGCTGCATCTCTGGCGTTTGGCCGGGACTGCCAGTCTATGGGTCCCTGCCTCAAAAAGTGCAGACTAGGGTGCATCAATGCATGCCGGCAGTTGATGCAGGTGTTTTTCTTTGGGCATGCGGTGGGTGATGAGTTCGGGACTGCCTCATGTCATGTGCGACTGCTTGAGTTTGCACCAATGCCAGCCGCGGTTGTTTTTTAAGACATTGATTCACAACAGCTGCTGCATCGACTCGAAGATCTGAAGGACCTGCACCTTGGGTTCTTGCGAACCCAAGTCCTTGACCTTGGCTACAGCGCCTCGGCTGCCTACATTTTGCAGTCAGCAGGTCACCGAACAGTGCCATGATGCTTACCAGGTGCCACAGAGAATTGTGGATGCCGAGTATGCTGTGCGGGGAGAGATCGTGCCTGCTTCCTACTTGAAACGTGCGACGAAGGACGCATTATGAGTGCCGGCTTACTCGTTCAGGACGCGATCCATGAAGTTGGAGAAGCTGCTGGAAGAAGGCAACACCTCTCTACCCTTCGATGAGCTAGTACCATGCAACATTGGGAATCCTCAGGCCTGAGATTTGCTTTGAAGCAAAGCTTCAGCTGAAAATGTCATTTACACCTAGATTCAAAGGCTGTGGGAGCACGCCCTCTGACGTTCCATCGGCAGGTGGCAATTTGCAGACAAGGGTAGAGGTGAACAGGCGCCAGACACTTGTCTCATGTCTAGTCAGGTGCTGTCCCTGCTGAGCAACCCGCTATTGATCGAGGACAGATCTAACCTGCAAGCAACATGTGAGGTATGCAGCAGAATTCTCTCCATTCTCCATGCGCTGGCAAAAGAAATGCTTCCCAGGAGGCAGCTTCACTGTATCCCGCGGACGTCATGACGAGAGCGAAGGAGAACTAGAAGACAGTCGGAAGACTTGAAAAGGACTTGTGGGTTCGATTCCAGGACTACATGGCCAAGAGTCCAAAGTTCGGCGCCTACTCGCACTCCAAAGGCATTCTCCACTTCAGGCCCTGGCCTCACATGCTATTGGCCAGCCTGGCCAGCCGCAATGCCTTCAGAAGCATCCGTCTGTAGGCAACAGGTGGCAAACTACATTGATCGTAGAGACGGACCGCTCGTGCCCCCAGCAGATCCAGAGGCAGCGCATCTGCTCGCGTTCATTTCAACTCCTCTCACTGCAGCTTTTGGGTGGGATCCTTGCCATGCAGGATATCTTCCTCACTGATGGTGCATCTGCAGGTGTGAAGACGGTGCTAGAGGCACGACCCCCAAGTAGCTCGCTGATGTTGCTTGTGCTTGAACAAGTGCGCGCTCAAGGTTATGATCGATGGCCCCTTGGATGGCCTTCTCATTCCGATTCCACAGTATCCGCTATATTCAGCCTGAGACTGAGGCAACGACACAGCCGGCCATTGTTGAGAAGCGTCCTGCAAAGTCCTGCAAAATTGCCTGAGGCTTCCATGACTCGTCTTGGAGGAACCCATATAGGCTACGAATTAGTGGAGGACAGCTCTCATTCTTTTGCTCGCCGTGCAAGCCTGGTTTGGGAGCCGAGCAGCCATCAGCTTCCAGGACTATGCTTCTGGAAAAGGCCAGACTTGGTGTTTTGAACCCCAACTTCATTCCAGAACCAAAGGGCATGTTAGGGAGGAAGAAGGGCTGTTTCAAGTTTTGATTGGTGCGATATCATGTTCTCTGGCCCATGAAGATTGTTGAGCACTAGCGGACTGTCGGACATCCTCCTCGGCTGCCAGGATGACGTGCAGATTCGGGAATCTGGAACAGCGTTGGGCCATGTTGCAAATTTACTCTAGGGTGCTTCGCTCTTCGCGCGCTAGAGGGCAGCCTGGAGCTTGAATCATTGGCGACGCCATACCGTCTAAGAAGAAGTCTAACTGGTGCCAATCTAATCCAATTAACGCCTAAGCGTCTCTCAGTGGCCTCAGCTTGCCTTTCGAGGCGTTGGAAGAAGGCCGGGGTCATGAAATGGGTGGATGAAAATAATAGCTTCCCAGGGCTCATACGGGTTACACAGAGATTGCGGGTTTTCCATGTTATTTCCACTTTCACTTGATTCTCCATTATTGGGGTAGAAACCCCGTAAGTCTGCCAAGTCAGAGGGGTTGAGCTTTTCGAAAAGGAGAGCTCCGCACGGCGCACTTGCTCTTACAACCCCATACGCTACCTCGGAGCAGCGTGGGACTGGCTGCTCATTTGTTCATTGCGACCGCAGGGGGGAAACTTAAAGGCGTCCGTTGCTCCACTTGCCCCACTTGCTCCAATTGCCCCCCCCACTTGCCCCACTTGACCCGCTTGACCCGCGTGCCCCACTTGCCCCACTTGCCCCGCTGACCCACTGACCCACTTGCTCCACTTGCCAAGTGAGGCGAGTGGTTCAAGTGGATCAAGTGGGGCAAGTGGCCGCGGACCCTTAATCCCCAACGCCGACACTCCATTTGTTAAAAAATTGCCGTACTCTTTCACACCTACGTTTCCGCCTCGAAGTGGACGGACACAACGCTTTTCGGCTGCTTGTCCAACAGCGGTTGCGGACTTTTTTGCTGCTCAGATCTGATGATGTACTACTAAGCTACTACGTTTTGCAACCCATGCGCCCCCACAGCAGAACAGAAAACCGCTCTCCTTTCAAAAGCAGTTGCAGCAGCCGAAGTTCATCCTTCTCACAGGAGTCTTGTTTGCTCAAGATGGAAAGGAACTGACTTTCATGGTGGCAACAGATCCTCCAGTACCTCACGACGGTGAAGTCACAGCCGGTCACACCTAAGCACATTGCGTTTCCGGTAGGCATGCAAAAGCCTGGGGACTGTGTGCATACTCAGCATGAAGAGATTTGGAAGTCAAATTTCAAGCTGACGAGAAGGTTCCATGAACAAAGCTCAATATCAGATTGCGTCGTTGCTCTGCAGGGATGGTTAAGCTAGAAGAAAAGTACGGATTCTTGGAAAATGTTTCAACATACCTTGATGCAGATACTTGGTCTCTTGAAAGCTTGCGTAATCCTGGCCAGATTTGCAAGCTCGGCCATGCTGGATGAACAACACCTAGCTACAGAAAACAGCTTTTCCGCGTCGAGCTAGATCCCTGTGCGAAAAGTATCTTTGAGGGAAAGATAGCTGTGCTTAATCATTGGTTTCGTTGGTCATCTTGTCGCACAGTGCCAGCGCAACAAGCAGCCACCTGGCTGTCCTGGCTCGTGGATAGAGGCTACTTGTGAGATCCAGCTTGGGCTTTGCAGGGTGGGCGATCGATGTCGAGGTCATCGAGGATAAGATCAAGGCTTCTGCTGGTAGTTGCCAGGTTTCCGCACTGACCTTAGAGCGGCGTGTGCACAAGGCATTCATCGCAGGCGGAGGTCGCCTTCGTGGAATTGTTTAGACCCTGGTACAAGTTGAAGGCCGCTCTAGGAGTGACCTTACTCTGGCAACTAAAACTCAGGCCGTCATCAATCCCGGTAACCCAACCGGCAACGTACTCAGCCGCGAGACCATTGAAAGCATTGTGAGGCCAGGGAGCTTTGTTTTCTTGCTGTAGCTTGCTCAGCAAATCATTGCTTGGAGGCTCTGTTCAAAGTACAAGGTGTCTCGGTAGCACTGATCTGGCAGATATTTGCAAGTGCCCCTGCAATTCAGATGGTCATCCTGGCTGATGAAGTCTACCAGGCTGATGCACCATGGGGGTATTGTCTCGCGACTGCTGTCGTTTCATATCTTTCCGCGGCGCAGGAAAACATCTGGCATGCGGACAAGAAATTTGTGTCTTTCAGGCCCCTCTTCCTCGATGCGTTTTGAGCTGTGTGTACCGCGCTTTCGCAAAAAGCTGATCACAACATCGAAGGGGCTGGCGTCAAAACCTTTGTCAGGCAAGTGGTGCTCGAGACAGGATTGCCCGTGGAGCTGTTGTCGACGCTTGGCAGATGATTACAGCCGGGTGTGGACGTGAAATGACTGACATTTCTGAATGCTATCACAGACTCAGGCTGACCAAAGAGATAGTAGAGCTCGTAAGAAAGGACACTTCTAGTGGGGCCTTGGGTTGGTTTGTGCGGCGCAGTCTAGGATGCCTTTGTTGCAAAAAGCGTAAGCGGCTAATGACGAGAGATGCAGTGACACTTGCTTTCTTCAAATGGTGATGCTATAGGGCCAGCGTATAATTACATGGCCTGTGACTTCGGTGGGCAGTCTGCTGACCTCCCAAACAGCCACGCCATGCCATGCCGCTCGTGAATCAATGAAGCTGTTCGCCAATACTTCATTGAACAGAAAGTTGCGTGCAGGCTCCAGACCTAAATACCCCTGCGGTTGCAACATAAGTAAGAATCCGGATAATGCATGTGTAGAGCTGCTATTCAATCGACCCTGCCGGTTCACCTAGGTTCCACTCGATGTCGAAGGGCTACTATGGTGAGTGCGGCTTGCGAGGATGCCGCTGCTGCCATTGATGCTGCATGCCCCATGTCTCTTGTCATGCGAGTGATTTCCTCTTCATGTTTGCCGTTTTGAGCTGCCAACCCATTGAATGCAGGAGGAGTCTTGCACATGACCAACATTGACCCAGATGTGGCTGACCAAATCTACAAGTTGTTCTCCATGATTCTATGCGCAAACACTCTTGGACAGGCCGTGTGATTAGCAGGGTGATACAGGATGTACATCCCATTTGCAAAGCATTTGCCGAGAACCACTCCTGCAGTCTGCAAGGCCTCTATGGCATCCATCTTGAATCCGCCAGTTGAGGGTGATGCCTCCTTCGCGCTGTTCTCTGAGGATCTGCTTTTTTCTTTTGGAGCTGCAGAGTCATCTGACCTGGCTGATGCAGCAGGAACGCAGTGAGATCCTGGCCAACCTCAGCAGGAAGGCATGCGCAAACAAGCACAGAGGCATTACTGAAATGTGGATGCGACGCAGGCAGAGCTTGTGACTCAAGCGCTCAATCAGATGCCGGGCGTGCAGTCTCTACCCGTGGAGGGTGCCATGTACGCATTCCCGCAGGCACGTCGGCCCGCATTGCTGCCGTGTCAGCCAACGTTTCCTGACCCATGGTCCGTACTCTCAGGTTTACTTGCCGGAGCGCTTTGTCAAGGAAGCTGAAGCTATGGGGAAGGTCGGCTGATGAAAGCACAGTGCAGTCAAGAGTTTCTGGATGAGCAGGCTGTCCAGGAATTGTTATAACAGGACATGATCGCGCAATGCAGGGTATTAGAGCTTGGCTGTGTCCCGATGTGCACCGATCAAGGCTGCAGACATGTTGTACTGCATCAAGATGCTGGAAGTCATGGCCTCCAAGTGTATCTAGCGCAGGCTAGCGAGGGGTAACAATCCATTCAGGCAACAGGTGTCATCGTGGTACCCGGCAGCGGTTTCGGCCAAAGGCAGGGTTGTCAGCTTTCACACCACAACCATCGTGCTCCTGCGCAGGAACGGCACGTGGCACTACAGAATTACAATCCTTCCACAAGAGGACAAGTTGAGCCGAGTTCTCGTACCCACCTCAATTACATCAGGAGGGGTCTTCTCTGCACAGTATAACACAGTATAAGTGCATGCCTTAGCTTGTAGGCTGCACTTGCTCTCAAGGATCGGATGAAAGACTTCCATTTGCAGTTCTTAAAAGAGCCGCCGCCTTGCCAGAAACCTTTGCGAGCTATGGATTGGATTAGGCCAGGGCTACCGAGGTATTTGGGCCCTGGCGAACGAGCCATCGAAGACAAGACCCCAACTCCTTGTGCAACACTTGGAGTCAGCTCCGCTGGCCTTGATGCAACTTGATGTGTCAACCTGCCGAATGTATTTTTGGAGACAAGGTCGGCCAAAGTATTCAGAGAAGCTGCAGGAGCAAATCATAGAGGTGTGAGGAATGGAATATGTTGGATGTTATGTCCATAGTGCTGTTCCTCACGAGGCGCACCTGACAGCCGAGAGGGGCCAGGACAGAGCAAGAATGGAGCATTGCCCAGCCGAGAGCGTCCGAGAAATGCCCAACGTCAGGCAGAACCGCAACTCTTGCTGATGCTCGGTGGTTCCGGAGCTGGCAAGGGCGGCTTCATGAAGGCCGCTGTCTGTTCATGCAAGTTCAGGAATCTTGCTTGAGCATATGCTGTTAACTTGCAGCGGAAATTCCCCAATTGTAACTTGTACGTGAAGAGAGGTCCGGTGGGTTTGCTGAGATCTTTTGCAGGGGTACCTCCTGATGTCAGTAATTAATGAACTGGATAGCAGGCGATGGAGCGTCATGGCATGGATATGCGAAAATTCGTGGTTCATGGTTTGGATGAGTGCGCTGTGGGAGTGCTTCAAATATGTCAAAGACTAATCTTCTTTGCGCATACATGTGAGGTACATCGAATACCTGCCAGAGTTCGAGGCAAGGCAAGAAGTGGAGAGATTGGGCAGACAAGCCATTATCTGCAGTAGGCATCAAAGCAGAACGAACTGGTGGTCTTCAAGGACGGTCCTTTTTGGATATAAAGATTGTCCTCGATCGAGTTCTGTTGTCATGCAGGATGCAGCCGATGGTTGCTACTCTGGCGTCATCCCGATTGCTAAAGTCGCACGCCAAGCTCGGAGCTGCAGGATGTGTTGACGAATGCTCACGCTTTGTTCTGTACGCCTGGAGATCATCTGATGAATGCAATAAGGCAGCGCAGAACGAAATCGTGAAGCGCAAGCAGCATGTAGTCTACGAGGACTTGACTCACTTGACAAGTTTCCGTAGGAGACTGGGCAGTGCAAGTCCGCATAGGACACTGGCAAAGACTTGGAGAGAATACTCAAGCGCATACTTCCTTTCTTCCAGAAGGCGGGTATAAAAGCAAACAGAGCCTGTTGTGGGCACAGGTTGTAGCTTTCCTTAGGCCTTAAGAATGCAAATCCAGGGTCCAGTACCGACCGCAGCACGCATATACTTCAAGAATTTTCTGAGTTGTGGCTAAATGCGGGAGGCTGGCTATAAGATTGCGATCGTGCTGGTGGACAATGTTCCTGCAATTGCCAAGCAGCGGTCGCACGGGCGGTTCTTGAGGGAAGGTCGATATGCCTCTGATCAGTACATTGAGGCACGCTCGTTGGAACAGCATGTCAATAAGAGGAGTTTGGAATCAAGAGCGCTGCCCAGTCAACCTTCAAGAACGTTCCAGAAAATTATGCCAAGCTGAAGGAACTGAACGAGGTGGATCTGAGATCACGCCCACTTTGGAACTGTTTGTGGCCCAAGCGTGGCCCAGGTGGCAGAGGCCTACTACTGCGACAACAGCTGCGCTGAAGGCGTTTGTCCGAAGTGCTGGCTGGACAAAGGCATCAGGCCGGGAGGTGTTTAAATGGCTGCTCCCTTGAGTCCCCTCCTCCAGAAAGTGTCAAAACGCTTCAGGAGCGTCCTTCCCGCAGCGGCTTTGCAGCCGCTGGCTTTGTTAATCTGTTCATCATGCGACGATCATTACGTAAACACTCCGAGGTCTGGCCCTGCATTGCGCCTTCACCCTGCAGCCAGATAGTTCTGGCAAAGCAAAGCTTAGCTCGCAGCGCGCGCAGCGAGTGCAGTGCGGCCAGAAAAGCCTCAAGAGTCGGCTAGTCTTTTTTCCCGCTGTCTGCAGCACCTCTGTCTATTCTACTATTCTGCATTGCAGGACCTGGCTGTCTGTTGTTGACGACGCGCATCAAACCTGAACTCCTGCCTTTGCACTTAGTTCATTCTTTAGCGCCCTCGTCTGGAACCCTAAAGGGTCCAGGCAGTGTTTTATGCCAATGTTCAAGACATTTGCTTCCATTTCAAGGCTTATCTTTGGCCTGCCTGCGCTTGCAAGGGACCCAAGCATACCAGTCAATCAACCTCAATGGAAGTTTTACCTAGGGTCTGGAGTGCAAGCAGTGCGGCCTGTGTATGTCTGGATGCAAAACTGCACATACACTTCGCAAAGAGGGATTATGTTTCTCGCTGTGCTAAGCACGGACTACTCTCAGGGATGACCCTACCTCTCGCTTAGAAAAATGTCGTCGCGTAAGAATTCTGTGGGTGGGTTGATACTGGGCCACAATGCAGGCCCGTTTCTAGTAGTTGCTCGATTCATTACCGGAAGAGAACAACTGCTTGAATACCATTGCAAGCAGTAGGAACAAATGTCAAGCAGTCAAGCCTCAAGCAGGTGTCGTTTATGCACGAGAAAAGACGCATTGGCCCACCTAAGTCTGCAACCTTAATGTGCGTGTACATGCGTATACCAAATCAGCGTGGCAGCTTCTGCCAGCTCATGGGTTCGTGGTGCTTTGCCACCTTGCCCAGAACTCAGTGCGTTTTTCAAGCAAGCATGCCTTTCAGAAGTTGCTTACTTGCGAAGAACTCACACCACGGGCGATTCTGGGATCTGCGAGGTGCAGCAAGCACCGATGCGGTGTCTCTGCAGCTGGGAAGATGATGCACTGCAGGCACTGTGGCATCATTATGATGAATCACTCGGGATGTAAACAAAATGCAACTCCTGCAGACTGTCAGAGCTTCTACAGCCTTGAGCCTTGATGAGTGCCCTTCTCAGAAGCCATTGTGCTTGCTGCAGTGCATGCTGAAAGCATGCTGGACTTTGGATTCGCTAAGGCCGGAAAGCTGAAGAGGCATGATCAGACCAGGAAAGCTTCTTCTCGTTGTACCTTGTTGCAGGATGATGGACACCCATGCTGGCTGCGGTGCCCCAAATTTGTGTCTTGCACTGAGTGCAAAATCAAAAAGGCAAAGGCTTCAAAGGCTCCTTGAAGTTGCTTGGAAGCTTGGACTCAGGCCGGCCTGCAGCAACTTCTCCATCCAGTACAACTACTCGTCGGCGAGGCCAGCTCACCGCAGAAAACACTTCTTTTCAAAACTACTTCTGCCAGTATTGCTGCCGCTATCATGTTGTCCCATAACGACATGATTGGTGACGGAGCTGCGCTCTCACAACGCTCCTCTGCGTGTTGTCAACGTTGGCGCAGCTTGGAAGCTGAGATTAGACCCGACTTCCCGCAGCAGCCATGGGCCAGGGCCTCACAGACTGGAACCTGCTCGGCGATGCGTAAGTACCGTCCAGCTGCGAAGAGACCGGAAGTTGCCATCACCACCTATCCGGGCAGGCAGAATTGCCTGAGAACAGGAGGGCACAATGAAACCAACATGACAGACAGCTCTCACAAGGCTTGTCCTTTTGCAGCTCGTCGCTGTTCAGGAAACAAAGCATAGCTAAGCACCGCCTCTCTCTGCTTCATCTTGCTGATCCCCGCGAGCCAAGTCAACTGGCATTTGCAATCGTTGCGCTCTGTCATGGCTTGAGCAGTCATGACAAGGCCGCTGATCCGCAAGGTAGTGATCCTAACAGTGCAGACAACTTCGAACAAGTCTTGCTATTCTGAAGCCTAAATATCTCAAATCTGCTTCCATAAGCGTGGTCCCTGCCACTTCCTGTCTTGCAGGTTCTTTGAAACCAGATAGGAGCCACGAACCCGAATGCAGACACGTGACACGTACATGCAATGATAATGACACCACACGGGCGAAACCACTTAGGAGACGTAGGTCCGGGGTCATCCCTTTCTTCTCTTTATCCTCCTCTCTTTATCCTCCTCTCTCTTTTCTCCTCTC